AAGGAAGGGGATAACGAGGAAGTAGGCAAAGATTTCTGGTTTTAATTTGAACAACGAGGCCATTGATTTGTTAGTTGAAAAATCAAGGGTAGCGTGAATTAGGGTGGTGAGAGAGACTGTAGAAGAGGTTGGTATGGGGGGCAAATGAAAAAATTGAGGAGGAGGACCCCGTAGATGTTCCCACAGATGTAGAGATTCCTTTAATACAGATTATGCAGAAGGCATAGATTGTGAGGAAGAGAACACCATGGTCGTTTATGCAGGTTCAGAGAGGGCAATTGGAGGTAGTAGTGAATCAGCTCATGTTTTTACAGATAGATCGGAGTTACACTAGGTTTTATTTGACAACAAAGGGAAGCGGTGAGGAACTAAAACTTGTTGCCGTGAGAGGTAATTTTGAGTTCATCACCAAAAGTCAAATTCATTGGCTATGACAGTTGCCTGTCATGACGAAAGTGCAAGTGGCGGATTTATTATAGAAGGTTGGTGGAGTCAGAAAAATTTATGCTTAGCACATATACCCGTGAGCACACTTGTGGTTTCGGACATATTTCAGGTGAGCATCGACAAGCGTCCGCTGATGTTATTGGACAATTTGTCAAAAGCCGGTTTGTTGAAGGAAGGCCTCTCCTAAAGACATTCAAGACTTGTGCGCACAGAGTTGGGATGTGTTTTAGTTACTGGAAATGCTGGAAAGGGAGATAACATGCACAAGATTTTGTGAGGGGCACGCCGGAGCACGGTATGCAGTATTAGAGCGTACGTTATATGCTTGAGTTGACAAACCAAGGTAGCAAGACGACTTTGAAGTGGGACAGGAATATGATGTTTAAATATTTTTTTGTTGCCTACGATTCTGTTAAGGAGGGGTTTTGTAACATGAGAAAGGTGTTGGCTGTTCAGGGTTACTTTCTACAGGAAAGTATGGAGGTACATTATTGTGCCACTGCATAGGACATCGAGAATCACACTATCCTGTTGCTGGTGTGGGGTTGACTCTGAGAATGACGATTCGTGGACTTGGTTTTTTTCAGCAGTTACGTACGATAGTGCCTGACACTGACGAGTTGTGCATAATATCCGAAGGCACAACTCTAAAGAAGGGGATTGCCACTATTTACTGTCAGCACATCACGAGTCTGTATGAGGCACCTGGTGAGAACATAAAATAAAAGTTTAGTGTGCTGGCCTCCTTCAGACATACTACAGACACAAAAGCTATCGGGTTGATCGTTGCGAGGAGCACTTCCAGCAAATCCAAATCAAGGATGATAGAGTTACTAAGTATCTTGAGCATGATGTTGGTTTGAGCAATGAAGTAAGCTTACTTTCCTGGAAGAAGGTTTGATGTCATGACCATGAACATAGCCGAGTCCATAAATTCGAAGTTTTAATAGAAGACAGTTTCCAATAGTTGCACTTTTTGATGCAATCTAAAGGACACTGTCGCGGTGGTTCCATGAACGTCGTACGAGTCAGATAATTTTACTACCCCCTTGTTCTGTCAGCTGAAAAATTATTGCAAGAATGTATGGAACTGTCAAATGCACTGTGTGCCTATCCTCTAATCTCAAGAGTTCACTGTGCGCGGCCATGGTCAGGATGCTCTAGTTAACCTTGTTAGAAAAACTTGCAGCTGTAAAATGTTTGACATTCAACGTTTACCTTGTCCTCATGCCTTGCAGCACTGAAACACCAACGGAAGCCAGATTTTGGTTCAAGAATTTACATGGAACTTTGCTCCCTCTCTATATGATAGATCACTACATGCTAGCTTATTCAGAAACGATATATCTGGTGCCTCCAAAAGAGCATGGGTAGTGGGCCGCTAGAGGTGGCTAACATATCATCCACCCGCCATTCAAGAAGACAGCAAAGGGAGAAAAATTTAAGTGTATCCATCAGCCTTTGAGGTTCCCCGGAAGATGAATAAGTGCAATTTGCAAGCAACCTGGCCACAAGAGAGTAGTTGCCAAAAGCAATCACATGCAGATCCAGCAAATTAGGTTCGAAGAAGGATGAAATTTAGAGAGTTGCCAAGGCCAACCGTTGATGAGTTATTGTTTTCAATTATTGATGTTATAAATTTTATTGTTACCTTTAATAAAGCATCTTTATATTTCTTGTTACATGGCCTAAATATTTGTTTTTATTTAGTCTGGAATTAGGTTGTCAAATTGAGGAGAAAAGTAGGAATTAATACGTGTTGGTAATGTTTGTAAAATTCAGGAGAAAAGCAGGAAAGTATATATTGCCAATGATCGCTTTAAGCGAGTAAGTATATACGGTTAAGCGACAAAGGGTTTTTCAAACAGGATCTCTTAAGTGATCACGGATCGCTGATATACGCTTAATCAACCAAGATAAAAAAGAAGAATCGCTTAAGCGATATCTAGGATCGCTAAGCATCCCACGATCGCTTAATCGATCAGTGAAAGAAAAGAATCGCTTAAGTAATATCTACGATTGCTTAAGCGACCTTTGTAAACGAAGTTCCTTTTATTACGATCCTTAATCGACCAACGAAAGATTTTGAAAATTTGACATTACACCCCACCTACCCAACTTTCCAGATTTGGGCCACCACAGCCGGAATCCTTCCAGGAAAGGCATTACAATGCATTGCGTCGGATCAGGCTGATAGGTGTCGATATGACCTTTTCCGGCTAGATTTGGCCGTCGACGGACGGAAAAGGCGACATTTGGCTTTACGTCTGCCATTTCTTTTTGAAAGTCGATGACGACCTGATGTGGCTGTGGATCTGGCTGGAAAATGTCACATATGTGATTACCGCTATTTCCAATCATTTGTAGCTGTCGATGGTGCGGAATCTGGGAAGTTTGGTGGCTGGGGTGTTTTTGTACTTTTAAACTTTTTTTAAGCGGTATTAATGAAATTATTCATTATTGGGTCTAAAATTTTTAAAAAAATACTAATATTTGCTAGATAATTACAAATAATATTATGGGAATATGATTTATATATTTATAACAATATTCAACCAAACGCACCCTTTATATACTGAACAAAGACGAATTTATAACCATATATGTTTAGCATAGACGTAAACATTCAACACTTTATATTTTCAAACTGAGTAAAAGAACTTATTTTAAATAAATAAATAACGGTCATAGTCCACAAAGACGAATCGTAAACCCTATATGTTTGCATAGACGTAAACATTCTACCTTTATATGTTTCAACTGGGTAAAAAACTATATGTTTAATATAAATATAATAACGGTCATAGTCCACAAAGCGAATCGTAAACCCTATATGTTTAGCATAGACTAAACATTCTACACTTTATATTTTAATACTGAGGTAAGAAACTATAGTTTAATATAAAATAATAACGGTCATAGTCCACAAAGACGAATCAAACCCTATATGTTTAGCATAGACGTAAACATTCTACACTTTTATATGTTTCATACTGAGCGTAAAAGAACTATATGTTTAATATAAATATAATAACGGTCATATTCCACTGAACGAATCGAAACCCTATATTGTTAGCATAGCTTAATCGCTAACCGATGCTTTTGAAATACAATAAATAATATCTGAATACATAGGAATACTTAATGATTCTTTGCTTTACTCCTGCTCGCTTAGCGATCCCCAGATCAAAATCGCTTAAGCTATCCATTTGTATCGCTTAAGCGATTTTCGTAAAACACTCTTGATCGCTTAAGCGATCTTAAATCGCTTAAGCGATCTTGGCCAAGGCAGAATGAATCTCCCCAGATTTATGATCGCTTAAGCGATCTTGTCCTAGGCAGAATGAATATCTGCGCAGATCTATGATCGCTTAAGCGATCTTATGTATCGCTTAAGCAATGCTTTCTAAACGAGTCTCTGTCGTTTAAGCGATTTAGGATCGCTTAAGCGATCTTTGTCAAGGCAGAATGAACATCTGCTTAGATGGGTAATCGCTTAAGCGATTTGACGTATCGCTTAAGCGATGCTTCGTAATAGACTCTTGGTCGCTTAAGCGATTTCAGATCGCTTAAGCTATCATATCTAGAAAAGTCTTGGTCATTTGGGAAACATTTGTACATCACTCATTTCCTTCCCAAATCGGAAAAGCATTTGTATCAATCAAATTCATCACAAATCAAAATATAGGAGACATCAATGTAATAGAAAAAAAAAATAAAAAATAGGCATGGGATGCAACAAATATCGAAATATATGGACAAGCTAACCATTAGCCCCAACTTGGGTGAATCAAATAATCACACCAGTATATCACACGTTGTAGTGATACACAAAATGAAAGAAAACGCTAAAAAACCATTATTTGGCTTGGGTGAAGCAAATGATCACACCATACATAGTAAATTCAACCTGCTAATGAGATATCTTTTATGGACAAAAAAAAATTATCTACCAAATGTCAGATCCAATTCTTTACAAAAATTTCCTATACACTGTCGCAAGAAGAGCCACAGCACAAGAATTTCCTATACACTGCCTTTTTATTAGGTTCTGCTTACTCAAAACGGATCCATCTGCCCATGGAAGCAGTCAACAACCCAGCCCTCCCGACAGTCTCTCATTGTTTCGTCACTCAACCCATCCATCGGGGTGTTGGTCATGTCGAACTCAATAAATTTCAGGGCATATACCCCACATTCAACACTACAATAGGAAGAGGGCATTAGCATTAGAATAAACTTGTAGAACAATTGTATTATATAAGTTAGTTTTATACAGAAGTTACATTGACTCATTTATTGGGCTGATAGAGCGCTTAATTGGCCACTTTTCAGTTAGTACTTGATCACCCAAGTGCCCAAACATCTCGCTGTCACGCAATAGCCGCGGGAACAACCTGCAGTGGCTCTAACTCGACCTCCAACTGCTTGTCTCGACAAATAGAGGGGTTGCAGTCAAGGATCTTCAGCAACCCCTCCTCTAGATGCGCAACGACTGCTATCTAGTGCATCTCTTTGACGAGGATGATGCAGTACACTCTTTTAACAAAGGCTCAACTGTGGCCATATTTAGGCTGATCCCCTCGTATATACTGCATAATTTTGTCATCAAAATGAAAATCATCAGGGATGCAGTCCAATTGTACTAGGGCCAATCTTTTTCGCTTCGGTCCTTTTACTGCACCACTAGCAACGGCATTTTTAATTAAAGTGCGATATGCCAAAACAAGCCTTTGGCCAAACGCCACATTAGTGATGGCACAGTCGGGATACAACAGATCACTATCAGTAGTCTGTCGTAGCCTCATCAGTGCCAATATCTCATCGATGTGCTGCATCAAATAAAAACAACAAGATAAGTATGGAAAATATAGGCAAAAATAAGGAAAATTAAGCGAAAAATAACTCACCGAGTCCTCAAGCCACGTGCCCATCGTCAACAACTTCCTAAACCATTCCCGGGGATAATCCCCTGTCTTACACTTTATATGGCCATTACTTCCTGATCCATTGTAATAGGCATAGAAGAGTTTTTTCTTTTCCTCTATTGGCCTATACAAATCGACATTTGAGTGCAATTTCTCTTGCCCACTTCCTCCATTTTTACATCCATTGTACCAACTTCCTCCTCCACTGTACCAACTTTCTCTCCCAACTTATCCACTTTCTCCTCCACCCTTTTCATGCATTCTTCCATCTTGTCAAACCTTGCATAAACGGCTATTGTAAAAATCTCAAACAAGCCGTTTATGAGGTCAACAACCTCATTCTCCCGATGCCGATGTCTCGGCAAAGCGGTACTTGTTGTATCGGTTTGCTGAGGCGTACGAACCTTTTCCTCCCTCTTCTCCTCCTCCTCCTCGGACCTCCGACCGATTGGAGCTTCATCCTCGTTGGCATCAACCACGTTGTGAAGCAGTGGCCCCACAACTGCCATCACATGCGTGACCCCTTTTAGGTCCCGCATCAGGCGGTCTATCCGTTCATCGCTTGCATCCTCTAGTGCGTTGAAAGATTTGACATAGTCCTCTTCCGCTTCAGCCCTAATAGCGGTGAGAAAGGGATGGACGAGTCCCTGCAATAAGAAACAAAATCAATCAGATTAACATATTTTAAAGCAACTGCATATTCAAAAGCTTAATCCTTCAATCTTACCCCAGCCGCTTGAATCTCAATCTCTAATTGGCCATAATCCCAATGGTTACACTTCCCGACATGCCACCGCAACATCCTAGGAAATTGTTGTTGCACATCCAAACTGTTTCTCCTCCCCCCCACCTTAGCGAAGACAGGGATGGCCTCGTACATCCAAGCCTACATTGTAAAAAAAAAAAACAGTCCATATCATAATTCAAACACATATGTTACAAAAAATATAATAAGAAGCTATTAATATTTACCTGCATTGCTCATGGGAAGCCAAACAAATTGTACATGCTTGGTTTATCCTTCCCATCCCATTAGGACTGCTTTAATGCCATGTCTACTTTTTTCAGGCTGTTGATGGTTCACTCATATGATTTCAGTCCCCATGGATAAGAATTAAAGAACTTCAAGTTACTTGCAAACAACAACCAATCTTTCTCAACAGCTTTTGTTGAGTCACCAGCCAATAAGATCTAATGTAAAAACAAAACCAAGCACACTTTTATCTTCTCTTTATCAGTAAATTCAACTTTTTCTAGCCTATTCTCTAATACCTGTGCTGTAATAGACTTAGCCCCTTGCAAAACCTTATTACAAAACTGTATGGCTCTCCGACTATTCTTTACTACCTCTGCCTTTTTATCTGGCACTTCCCCACATCCTAAACCCGTCACCAGGGCATATTCCATCATGCCAAAACGTAGTGGCTTTCCGCCCACCACAAACCACATTTTTTTTTTATTGCATCTTACTGAGTGCAGCAACATGTAATGCACTCCCTGCCCCCAAAATGCCTTTTTCCAATGATTTTCGAGTCCTAAAAATCGATCGAAACAAGTGCGACTGAAATCTCTTTTACCATGCCTAATTCCATCTAATATTTCCTGTATTCTGTCAAAAAAATTTCCAACTTGACCTGACCGTCACCCTTGCAGGGAAGTAGGGCACCTTATCGCTTGTAAGGTCCAACTTGTACTTTGTGATGTTTACGGTCTGCACAATCTGCATAATCGATATAAACAAAATGTCAGCAACAAAAAATTATGACTGTGGTCGGTTAAGTGATTTCAGATCGCTTAAGAGATCTTGACTCTGCCTAGCGCAAGATCACTTAAGCGATTTCAAATCGCTTAAGCGACCAAGAGTAAACTGAAAAAATCTCTTAAGCGACACAAACGATCACTTAAGTGATCTTATATCTATGATTCTGCCTCAAAAAATCGCTTAAGCGATCTGAAATCGCTTAAGTGACCAAGAGTCAACTTAATCAATCGCTTAAACGATATCAAGGATCGCTTAAGCGATCTTAGATCTGGGCAAATGGAGTAAAAGAGGTTAATCGCTTAAGCGATACAAATGATCGCTTAAGCGACAGTTGAGAACGTACCCTTGCTTTGGAATCCTCGCCGGAATCCTCTTGCCCTGAATTCTCGCTGAAATCCTCCTCTTGGCCTGAATTATCGCCTGACTCCGACTCTTCAGAATCGTTTGACGATTCTTCCATCTGTTCAAGTGCCGCCAGCATCTCCTCTCTCTGTCGACCAGCCATTGAACTACTTGCGCCACCGGAATCTAGGATTCGAAGTGGCATTGGGTTGTGCTCATCATTGTGAGTGTCAGCCATGGTTTTGGATTGAATTTGGTGTGAAATTTTGTAGTTTGGATCGGAAATGTGGGCTGTATCGCCAGAAATCACGCAGATTCTGTTTAGGGTTCAAGAAATCGATTTTAGGGTTCAAGAAATCGATAGAAAATCGTGACTTATCGTCGGAAATCGCGACTATATTCCGTTTAGGGTTCAAGAAATTGAGTTTACGATTGAATATGGTGTGGAAATTTGCTGGTTGGATCAGAAATCGCCTGTCTCCCTTTGGTTCAAGAAATCGATTTTTGCCCTATTGAATTTCGATTAAGCGAGGTGAATAGTTAGTGGGGCTTGTTTTGAGAAATTTCAAATTTTAAAAACTTTTATTATGTCTATTCAGCCCAAATATGTTTTCATTCTTTCATTTTAACCCATTTTACATGTTTAGTTAGTGGGGCTTGGTCGCTTAAGTGATCTCTTCCAAAGCAGAATAAAATCTGCCTAGATAGATGATCGCTTAAGCGATCCTCTGGTCTCGCTTAAGTGATCCTCTAGTCTTGCTTAAGCGATTCCTCGCTTTTACTCTTGGTCGCTTAAACGATTTAGGATCGCTTAAGCGATCTCTTCCCAGGCAGAAGAAAATCTGCCCAAATCTATGCTCGCTTAAGCGATTCCTTGCTTTTACTCTTGGTCGCTTAAGTAATTTAAGATCGCTTAAGCGATCTCTTCCAAGGCAGAATAAAATCTGCCTAGATCTATGATCGCTTAAGCAATCCTCTGCTCTCGCTTAAGCGATTCCTCGCTTTTACTCTTGGTCGCTTAAGCGATTTAAGATCACTTAAGCGATCTCTTCCAAGGCAAAATAAAATCTGCCCAGATCTATGATCGCTTAAGCGATCCTCTGCTCTCGCTTAAGCTATTCCTCGCTTTTACTCTTGGTCGCTTAAGCGATTTAAGATCGCCTAAGCGATCTCTTCCGAGGCAGAATAAAATCTGCCCAGATAAANAAGCGACCAAGAGTAAACTGAAAGAATCTCTTAAGCGACACAAACGATCGCTTAAGTGATCTTATATCTATGATTCTGCCTCGAAAAGATCGCTTAAGCGATCTGAAATCGCTTAAGCGACCAAGAGTCAACTTAATCAATCGCTTAAGCGATATAAAGGATCGCTTAAGCGATCTTAGATCTGGGCAGATGGAGTAAAAGAGGTTAATCGCTTAAGCGATACAAATGATCGCTTAAGCGACAGTTCAGAAAGTACCCTTGCTTCGGCAGCCTGCTCGTTCTCGCCGGCCTCCTCCTCGTCGTCTGAATCCTCGGAAGACTCCTCCTGCCCTGAATTCTCGCCAGAATCCTCGTCCTGGCCTGAATTCTCGCCAGAATCCTCGTCCTGGCCTGAATTATCGCCTGACTTCTCGTCTTCAGAACCGTTTGACGATTCTTCCCTTTGTTCTTGTGCCGCCGGCGTCTTTTCTCCCTATCGACCACATTCACTGATGGGATGATCCACCGGAGCAGCCGTTGAACTGCTTGCGCCACCGAAATCTAGGATTCGAAGTGGCGTTGGGTTGTCCTCATCATTGTAAGTGTCAGCCATGGGTTTGAATTGAATTTGGTGTGAAAATTTGTAGGTTGGATCGGAAATGTGGGCTGTATCGTCAGAAATCGCGCAGATTCCATTTAGGGTTCAAGAAATCGATTTTAGGGTTCAAGAAATCGATAGAAAATCGTGACTTATCACCGAAAATCGTGACTATATTCCGTTTAGGGTTCAAGAAATTGAGTTTACGATTGAATATGGTGTGGAAATTTGCGGGTTGGATCGGAAATCGCCTGTCTCCCTTTCGTTCAAGAAATCGATTTTTGCCCTAATGAATTTCGATTAAGCGAGGTGTATAGTTAGTGGGGCTTGTTTTGAGAAATTTCAAATTTTAAAAACTTTTATTATGTCTATTCGGCCCAAATATGTTTTTATCCTTTTATTTTAACCCATTTTACGTGTTTAGTTAGTGGGGCTTGGTCGGTTAAGCGATCTCTTCCAAGGCAGAATGAAATCTGCCCAGATAGATGATTGCTTAAGCGATCCTCTGGTATCGCTTAAGCAATTCTTCGTTTTTACTCTTGGTCGCTTAAGCGATTTAAGATCACTTAAGCGATATCTTCAGAGGCAGAATAAAAACTATCCACATCTATGATCACTTAAGCGATCCTCTTGTATCGCTTAAGCGATTCCTCGCTTTTACTCTTGGTCGCTTAAGCGATTTTAGATCGCTTAAGCGATCTCTTCCGAGGCAGAATAAAATCTGACCAGATAGATGATCGCTTAAGCGATGCTTCGCTTTTACTCTTGGTCGCTTAAGCGATGTCAGATCGCTTAAGCGATCCTCTGTTATCTCTTATTCGATTCCTTGATTTCACTCTTGGTCGCTTAAGCGATTTCAGATCGCTTAAACGATCATTTGAGCAAAAATCTTGGTCGCTTAAGAGATATATGTGGTTGCTCATATATCGCTTAAGCGATCATGACAAAAAGAGAAGAATCCTACATTTCTCCTGTATTATGTAATATTCTGTCATTTATAACTCATTTTCCTCCCAAATACGAAAAGAATAAGCAGCAAAATGAAGTCATTTATATCAATCTAATCCATCACATATCAAAATATAAGAGACATCAATGCAATTGAAAGTTTAAACTTAAAATCATTCATAATAGTGCCAAAAATGAATAAATCCTAAGCCACTTTGAGAAGTTTTGGAATTCGATATAATCACTGTCTGAGATCATTTCATGGTACCATGGCTTGCCAACAGCCTTGACTGCAAATGCCTCNTATTATGTAATAATCTGTCATTTATAACTCATTTTCCTCCCAAATACGAAAAGAATAAGCAGCAAAATGAAGTCATTTATATCAATCTAATCCATCACAGATCAAAATATAAGAGACATCAATGCAATTGAAAGTTTAAACTTAAAATCATTCATAATAGTGCCAAAAATGAATAAATCCTAGGCCACTTTGACAAGTTTTGGAATTCGGTATAATCACTGTCTAAGATCATTCTTTGGTATCATGCCTTGCCAGCAGCCTTGATTGCAGATGCCGCTAGTTTGAGAAATTTTCAAATTTGGTATAATCACTGTCTGAGATCATTTCATGGTACCATGGCTTGCCAGCAGCCTTGATTGCATATGCCTCCTCTTGGCCACCAGCCTTGATTGCAGATGCCTTGCCAGCAGCCTACTCTAACAGCCCAAGCCAATTTGAGGAGTTCCCTCTCATTGTTTGCCAGCAACCTGTAAAATTATCCGGCACACCTGCAGCCACGTCAGCTTTTCTAAATAAAACACAAAAAAACAAAAAGTTTTTCAGGGTCAATTTGTTAAATGGAAAGTTGGGATGTTCGGGGAGTAAAATTTTCTCTCTTCACGAACCCAAGTTATAGAGTGCAAGATTGAAAAGTTCACTGAGTCCGTCTATTTCGGTAAAGCTGTGTATAAGCATGACACCTGCAGCATCAGCACCACAACCCAAGTATCAATATCACATAAACTACAAAATTAAAAGTACAAGTTCCAAACCATTTCATTGGGTTGTGGTCACTCAAAACGGATCCATTTCCCCATGGAAGCACTCAATAGCCCGGCGCTCTCGAAAGATGGTCATTGTTTCGTCATTCATTCCGTCCATCGGGCTGTTGGTCATGTCAAACTGAATAAATTTCAGGGATATGCCCCACAATCAGCACTGCAATAGGAAGATGACATTAGCATTAGAATCAGCTTATAGAACAATTCTATTATGTAAGTTAGTTTTATACAAAATTTACCTTGACTTATTTGTTGGGACGGGAACACGCTTGAGTGGCCACTTTCCCGTCAATGCTTCATCACCGAGGTGTCAAACATCCCGCTCTCGCGTAACAGCCATGGGAACAACACAGACAGTGGCTCCAACTCGGCCTCCAACTGCTTGTCTCGACAAATTGTTGGGTTGCAGTCAAGGATCTTCAGCAACCTCTCCTCTAAAAGCGCGACGACTGCTATCCAGTGCATTTCCTTGACCAGGATGATGTAGTAGACACTTTTAACCTTTGCCCAACTGTGGCCATATTTGGACCTGTCCCCCATTACATACTGTATCATCCTGTCATCAAACTTAAAATCATTAGGGACGTAGTCCAAGTCTTCTGTTCCCGATAGTTTTTGCTTGGCTCCTTTTGCTACAGATGTACCAATGGCCTTTTTCAATAAATTGCGGTATGTCGATACCAGTGTTTGGCCAAAGGCCATATCGGTGATGGCACAATCGGGATATAGTAGATCACCATTGCTGGTTTGTCGCAACCTCATCAGTGCCAATACCTCATCGATGTGCTGCATCAAATAAAAACAACATGATAAGTATACAATACCTCATGGAAAACATAAGCAAAAATAAGGAAAATTAAGCGAAAATAACTCACCGAGTCGTGAAGCCAACTGCCCATCGTCAAAATCTTTTCAAACTAATCCCGAGAATAATCCCCGGTCTTACACTTTACAAAGGCATCACTTCCGGATTCATTGTAATAGGCATAGAAGGGTTTTTTCTTTTCCTCCTCTATTGGCCTATACAAATCGACAGTGGACTCCATTTTTGCTTGCCCGCTTCCTCCCCCTTCCTCCATTTGTACATCCCCGCTTCCTTCACCTCTCGCCTCAACCTCCTCCACTATAACTGCCCCACTTCCTCCAGAAACCTCTTTAACCCCCTCAATTTTGGCTTCTTCCTCAATTTGTTTCTTTGTTCTCCTCTTAATTCCACGTGTTAGTATGGTGTAAGGCGATTTCACAAACCTGCTTTTTCGGCTCTCTCTTTTCAGCCCAAGTTGCACTTTAACCGCCTTTAATACTCCACCAACTTCCTCCTGCACCCTACCAACTTCCTCCTCCACCCTAACAACTTTCTCTGCCACCTTATCTACTTTCTCCTCCACCCTTTTCAACTGCTCTTCCATCTTATCAAACAAACTCTTTATGAGGTCAACCACCTCACTCTCCCGACCCCGATGCCTCGGCAAAGCGGTACTTATTGTACTGGTTTGCTGAGGCATACGAACCTCTTCCTCCCTCCCCTCCTCCTCCTTCCCACTGATTGCGGCCTCATCCTCCTCAGCGTCAACCACATTCTCAAGCAGTGGCCCTGCAACTGCCCTCACATGTGTGACCCCTTGTAGGTCTCGCGTCAGGCGGTCTATCCCTTCATCCCTTTGATCCTCCAGTGCTCGGAAAGATGTGACATAGTGCTGTTGCGCTTCACCCTCAGTACCGGTGAGGAAGGGATGAACAACCCCTTGCAATAAGAAACAAAATCAATCAGATTTAATCGACATTTTAAAGCAAGTGCATGTTCAAGCTTAATCCTTTAATCTTACCCGAGCTGATTGAATTTCAATCTCTATTTGCTCATAATCCGAATGGGTACACTTCTGGTCGTGCCACCGTAACATCCTAGAAAATGTCTGTTTCACAACCAAAGCCCTAATCCTCCCCACTGCCTTAGCCAGGACAAGGATGGCCTCATACATCCAAGCCTACATTGTAAAAAAATAGTCTATATCATAATTCAAACACATATATTAAAAAAAATATAACAAAAAGCTATTAATATTTACCTGCATTGCCCATGGGAAGCCAAACAAATTGTACGTCGCCGGTCTTTTCTTCTCGGCCCATTGGGAGTGCTTTAACGCCAGGTCTTTTGCTTGCAGGGACTCCATGGTTCGCTTAAATGATACCTGTCCCCACGGATAAGCATTAAAGAAGTTCAAGTTGCTTACAAACTTCACCCAATCAATATCAATGGCTTTTGTTGAGTCACTAGCCATTAGGATCGAATGTAAGAACAATACCAAGCACAGTTTGAATGTCTCTGAATCGTTAAACTCACCATCTTTTAACCTGTCCTCTAATTCCTGTGCCTTAATAGACTTGTTCCCCGCCAAAACCTTGTTAGCCAACCTTTTGGCTCCCGTACTGTTCGTTATTCTTTTTTCCTCAACCTCACTTGGCAATTCCCCACATCTTAAGCCAGTCACCAACGCATATTCCATCATCCCGAAACGTACTGACTTTCCATCCACAATGAACCACATTTCGTGATTTTTGTTGCTTTTTATTGAGTGCAGCAACATATAATGCACTCCCGACCCATAAAATGTCTTTTTCCATTTTGTGTCCATATCCCAAAAATGACTGAAACAAGTCTCTTTGAATCTCCTTTCACCATTCCTCATTGTCCCTAAAATCCCCGTTATTCTCGTTAAAACATCCCAACTTGACCTCACTGTCACCCTCACAGGGAAGTACAGTACCATATCGCTTACAACCTCCAATCTGTACTCTCTATAGTTTACGCTCTGGAAAATCTGCACAATTGATATAAACAAAATATCAGCAAAAAAATTAAACCAAATCAAATATAAACAAAATACGCTCCGGAAGAATCGCTTAAGCGATGGGCAGATGATTCTGCCTCATACAAGATCTCTTAAGAGATATAAAATCGCTTAAGAAATACAAAAGATCACTTAAGAGATTATAGATCTGGGCAGATTTGGTTCTGCCTCGGAAGAGATCGCTTAAGAGATCTTGTACGAGACAGAATCAACATCTGCCAGATCTAAGATCGCTTAAGCGATCGTTTATATCGCTTAAGCGATTCATCGCTTTTACTCTTAAGCAATCCAAAATAGCTTAAGTGACCAAGAGTAAAAGCCATCAATCGCTTAATCGACACAAAGGATCGCTTAAGCGATCTTAGGCCTCGGCAAGTACAAATACCTTTTCTTCGGCGGCCTCCTCCTCTGCGGCCTCCTCCTCCTCCTCCTCACTCTCGCCGGACTCCTCTTCCTGGCCTGAATTCTGCCTGGCCTCCTTTTCGTCTTCAGAACCGTTTTGCTCTTGTTCTCTCTCTTGTTGTGCCATCGTCGTCTTCGCTGCTGGAACACCTTCACTAATCGGAGGATCCACCGGAGCAGCCATTGAACTGCTTGCGCGGTCGGACTCTACGATTCGAAGAGGCGTTGGGTTTTCCTTCTCATTGTTAATGTCAGCCATAGTTTTAAGAAAGGAAGAAGCTTTAGGATTGAATTTGGGTGTGAAAATTTGCCGGAATGTGTACTGTTATCGCCGGAAATTGCACAAATGCGTGTAGGGATTGAAGATATCGATTTTTGCCTTAATTGGTTTCGATTAAGCGATTTGAATATTTGGGGCTCTTTTTCAATTTTCAAATTTTAAAAACTTTCATTAATTATGATTTTGTCCTTATATGTTTTAATCTTTTTATTTTAACCAATTTTACATGTTTAATGGATCCTAACTATGCAACGTCAGTTTCTCTAAATAAAAAAAAAATAAAAATTTCAAGACCATTTTTTTAAATCCAAACTTGGATTACCGGTCTGCTAAATTTTCTCCTTAAAATTCCAGCTTAAGACATCTCTCGTCTTCAGTCTTGAAGAAAGCGCAGGTGAGTGTCACAGAGAGAGAGGGAGAGCCGTTGGTGAGAGAAACGTCTCTCTCCCTCTTAAGAATTTTACCTTCAATTCAATTTCTTCTACTTATTTTAATTCATCTCTTAACCTATTTCAAGCCAAGGTAGACTTTCTATTTTTTTTTTTTTCATTTTCATTTGATTTTTGGATCAGATATTTTGATTATGATTAATTTGATTTATTATTTATTTTTGTGCAGTGATGGATGTAAATTTAAATATTTTTTTTTTTTTTTTTCATTTGATTTTTGGATCAGATATTTTGATTATGATTAATTTGATTTATTATTTATTTTTGTGCAGTGATGGATGTAAATTTAAATGAGAACGAGTCGTTGTTGGCTCGCATCCAGCAATTGGAGCATGGTATGAGCTCCACGCTTTTATTTATTATCGGTGAATTGAAGTTTTATTTCAAGAAATGAGAGTTTTTGTAGAATGAAGCTGATGCTGTAACTTTGAATTTGTTTTACTTGAGATTGTTTTGCTTGTAGATAACATGTAATCATTGAATTTCGACGTGGGGAACTTGGTTCTAACCCTTTTCAGTACTGGGATGTAGATCTTGGTACTGTTACCGGGATCAAGGGTAATTTTTATAACATGTTCAACGTCAAATTGTTAGGGATATGAATTATAATGCATTGCCATTTTAATAACTAACGTATAAAGTGTGACTAATTACTGAGTTGTAATTAACTTCGCAACCAATGGTCAACAATAGTACACCCTTCAATTAAGGATCATTTTAACTTAAATGATAGTTAGATATTGGTTTAATAAGTATGGCAACAAGATGTCACTTCATTTGAGTGTTATTCTTGAGTAGGGACAATTAAATTTTGAGAGGATTATATAGAAAGCATTTTTAATCTTAAGTTAAAAGTTTCCTTTTAGTTTTTCCAATAAAAGATTGTCTAGATTAATGCTAATAGTAAGTACAGCTTGTAAAGACATGTAGTTCATCTACCTTAAGGTTCTAAAATTTTCCAACGGCTTTGAAGTAGACTAAGGGATAAGGAAGAGTAGAGGATGGGGTGGAGGTCAATCAATATTTCCCTCAGGTTTTTTAAGTAAAACATGCTACTAGTTTTAGAGTTTAAACTATAATAGAAGCATATTCAAAGACTTTGGAGCCAAATATTATCACTGTTTCTAATCTTATGATTGCTATCCCAATCATTTTAGATTTGCAGATTTCCTTGTGTTTTTAGCCTAGGTAAATTAATGCCATCACCTTCTTTAGGGTAATGAATGTCTGTCCTTATTTACGCTTTATGGGAACAATTGAGCTTCCTTGTCCTTTTTAAATCTTGTGCAAACAATTTGGCTATTTGATGAGCTTGGGAGGTGAGTTATTTTGAGATTTAGTGCACATAAGAGATAAACTACAATAAGTTCAAGTTGTAGGTGGAGGAAACATTATTTACTGATCTTGGTAATATACTGCGTGACTAGGTGAAATTCAATTTAGTTAGTATCTTCTACTTAACTCTCTTCAAAGATTAGGATAATTCTTTCATGCCAAATCACCCACAAGAGAGCTAGAATTGCACATTTCCTCAAAGTCTTTGCTTTCTTTACTTTACCATAAGTTGCAACATATGAGAAATAGAAGTATTAGTGCTATTAGGAATAAATAATCTCTACGTGTATCTATCATATAGGGATGGGAATTAGCTTTGGGTTATGAGAGAAAAGAGGGTACATAGCGTATGCTATCTAAGGAGAGATGTGAGAAGAGTGGTTTAAACATTTGGATTGAGTGGTGAAATTGGTGTTGTTTGTGAGTTTTGCTAATACAGGATTGGTTATTAGGTGTTTCTACTCTTGTATATTGGTCTTAGCGTTAAATTTTCTCTCTCATCGATGGATGTCGGGGGTTATGTTGAACTACTTTAAATTATTGTGTCTCATTTTCTGTATCGTGTGTGATTTGTTTTATATGTTATTAATCTCGGTGTGTAATACGCCTTTGCACAATTTCTTAACACTTCATATTTAAATAAATCAGTCTTAAAACTTTTATCTTTTATGCCCTCTAATTGTGAAATGAACAATCTCTTTTTTCTCTACTAAATAGACTGAGTCAATGCTTGTTTTGTTGAATAGTTAACAACTCAATTCTTTTGAATAAGAGCTAAACAGTTCATTCTGTATGTAGAAACTCTGTAAATTTTGGTTCCTACATACCATGTGTTTCAGTTTATTGATTTGTTTCCACAGTATATAATATGTGAACTATTTTGTTTTCAGAGCGAGATGAATTACGCAAAGATATTGAACAGTTGTGTATGCAGCAAGCTGGACCAAGCTACCTAGTTGTGGCTACTCGAATGCATTTTCAAAGGTATAAATCTTTTTTCCTCCCAGAAAATCAGTTTAATTGTTGTGGCCTGATAGTTGGCATCAGCAAAAAAGCAATAAAGATGTATTTTTATCAAAATTAATGCCCTATCAGGACAGCTGGTTTGGAGCAGGAGATTGAGAACTTGAAGAAGAAGTTAGCTGCTTGCACAAGGGATAATCTAAATCTTCAAGAAGAGCTGTCAGAGGTGTACCGAATCAAGGTGATAATTTCAACTCTCTTTTTTTTTTTTTTTTTTTATACTTTTATTTATTTATTTATGTGAAGCTTATAGGTTGTTTTTATGTCTGTAGAGCCAGTTGGCAGATCTACATGCTGCAGAGGTCACAAAGGTATCTCTCTCTGTCTCTGTCTCTATGTGTGTGTGTGTGTGTTTGTGCATGTGTGAAGAGTTTTGTAGATGGTAACATGTGCATTATTCAGTTCTGTGGAAATATGCTTACTTAATAAAGCTTTGTTCAGCTGTCTGAAATTTATAGATGTCATATTTTGCACAAATCTCTTTTGAAGCTATCCTTATATGGATTTATGCTTTTTGATGATTAGGGTGAAGGATTGTTGAAAGGTTTTTCTTATTATCCTCATTGAATTAGTTTCTGCTGTGTTGATATATATTTAGCGACTAAATTCATCTGTGATTATTTTGGTTATCTGCTCGTGTAATGGTTATTGATTTTATCATTTTCTCTGCTTTTCGTTTCAGTCTTCATATTAACTAAATGTGTTGCGAACCTACTTCGTTTTACTACTCAACCACCCACAAATTAGCAACATCAGAGTATTCAACAATTAATTGTAAACATCCTGAAACATCCAGAACCTCAATGTATATATTCCATGGAAAAGTTCAGAATTACATTCATCTATATACTATATCTCAACACCAGAATTCAATTAACAAACAATGAAAATGAATGGAAACTAATACGCTGGACTTCGAGGGCTAGCTACCTCCCCTTTTACTAAATTCTCTCTTGATGCCTTTTCAACCTCTGCTGCTCCCTTTTATTCATTTCCTTCCCTAACAAAATTCTACTCTCAGCCACTCATCTGTCGCCACCTGTCCACTCCACCTTTTTCTTCTCTTCACACTTTAGTTGCTCCCTTTATCACAACTGATTCCTTGGTGCTTCTTCCCACGCCTCTTATTATAAACCCTCACTTCACGTGTTGTATCAATACCCTCTGGAAGAAGAGCCACCTTGTCCTCAAGGTGGAATGAAAGAAATTGGAAATTCAGGCCGTCATACTCTTCCCAAGTATTCTCATGGTGGGGTAACCCTTTCCACTTAACTAGAACTTCCCTTTGACCATTGAGTAACCTGCGGATTTTTAGCACTTCTTCTGGTTCGACGACTAAAACCAGATCCTCATTTAAGGAATCGGGAAGAGGCTGAATGTTTGGCGGAGGAAAATTGGCTTTCTTGAGTTGGGACGCATGAAACACATTGTGGATACGGGCACTAGCTGGGAGTTCTAACTTGTAGGCGGTTGGTCCAATTTTCTCGAGGATTCGGAACGGCCCATAAAACCTGGCACTTAGCTTTTCATTGCAGCGGGAAGTGAGTGACTTCAGACGGTAGGGTTGTAGCTTAAGATAGGCAGATTCTTCTACTTCGAACTGCACATCTTGTCTCTTCGCATCGGCAGAACTTTTCATGCGGTTTTGAGCCTTATGCAAATTCTCCTTAAGCTCTAGTGGAATACCGTTGCGAGTTGAATCTGTTGATTGACTTCATCCACCGGAGAACTGTGGTCTGTGTATTTCAACAATGCTGGAGGGTCTCTTCTGTATAAAGCTTTGAAAGGACTTATACCCGTGGAGCTGCTATAAGTAGTATTGAACCAGAATTCAGCCCACGGAATCCAGTGAGGCCACTATCGAGGCTGATTTCCTACAAAACAACGAAGGTAAGTTTCCAAACACTTGTTAACAATCTCCGTTTGTCCATCCATCTGCGGATGATAGGCCGAGCTCATATGAAGCTTAGTTCCAGCCTGCTTGAACAATTCTCCCCAAAAATGGCTCATGAACACGCGATCGTGATCCGAAACAATTGTCCTTAGAAAGCCGTGGAGCCATACTACCTCTTTGATGAATGCGGCTGCTACCTCCTTGGCTGTATAAGGGTGCTTGAGTGTGAGAAAATGGCTATATTTAGTGAGTCTGTCAACTACCACTAAGATAGTATCCACATTGTGCGCCTTCGGAAGTCCCACTATAAAATCCATGGAAATGTCTTCCCAAACCTGAATTGGAATAGGAAGGGGCTGCAATAAGCCGGCTGGCCACGATGCTTCATATTTATTTTGTTGACACACACTGCAAGAGTTCACATAAGTTTGGATATCCCGCTTCATTCCATCCCAATAAAACACATTCATCAGGCGCTTGTACGTTCTGAAAAATCCAGAGTGGCCTCCAATCGGGGATAAGTGAAATTCATGCAAGAGTTTTTGAATATGGGGGCCTTGTTTCGGAACAACCAACCTGTTTTGATACATAAGGTGTCTGCCCATTAGTTTGAAAGGAGGGTGGCCATGAGGGTTAACGATGAGCTGCTGGGTAAGCTGTCGCAACTTGTCATCCTGTTGAATGGCATCTTCCAGTTCTTTGAACCCGCCGAAACGGCCCATTGAAATGGCGTTATTCTCAACATTCTCGGGGCGCTAGGATAATGCATCCGTAGCCTTGTTCTCTGGCACTGGTCGATACTGTATTTCAAATTGTAACCCAAGTAATTTTGACACCCATTTCTGCTGATCTTCATTTAGCAACCTCTGTTCAGTCAGCAAATGGAGGCTTTTCTGGTCAGTTCTGATGATAAAACGTCGGCCGAGCAAATAATGTCTCCATTTCTGTACTGCCATCACAATAGCCATCATTTCTATTGTTTAGTGAACTTAGACCATCTCCAACCCATTGCACCAATTTGGTGCAAAATTGCACCAAATTGGTGCAAATTTTGATGCAAAACACTATTCCATCTCCAACCCACAACATCAAATATTACACCAAAAAGAATATTCTTTTTTTTCTTTTATTGTAATAATCAACAATTAATCTATTTCACTCATTATTTTTGTATATATTAATTAAATATTGGGAATGATATTTTTATTAAATAATAATTATTTTGAAAATTATACAAAAAAGAGCTCAACAACAAGGTCAAGGATCTCAAAATAACTCTAGTTCTTTTCAATATTTTGATGATCTTACTGGATCCGGAACTAATCTACCGGAATACTAAATTGTTATTTGAGTTTATGTTGTATTTTCTTTTAATTTTAGTGTTTTTAAATTATTGTTAATTTTTAGTTTGAGTTATTGTAGTTTAATATTTGCATTGAATAAAGTTCTATTTTTAATTTTTCATCATTTTTTAAATATATCATTATTATAAATTTATTATTATAAATAATAATCAAATTAAATTAAATACAAATACTCAAATTTGGTTTGATTTTTGGTGTAAAATTTAATACTCAAATTAATTTAACAAAATTAAAACAAAAAACAAAAAAAAGCAAAATTTAAAAAATATATATATATATTTTATTCGCTACAGTGTTGCGCCATTTTGGCATGGTGCTACAGTGCCGCGACAAATTTGGCGCAGCACTGTAGCACCACGCCAAAATGGCGCAGTGTTTGGCGTGGGTTGGAGCACCAACCCACGCCAATTTGGTGTTTTTTACGCCATTTTGGCGTGGGTTGGAGATGCCCTTAGGCATTACTAACACCGGTACATTGGTCAGGGCAGATTTCAATGCCTCAAATGCTTCTTGGGGTTTCTCACCCCACATGAATGAATCTTTTTGCAACAAATTAGTCAAGGGAAGTGCTATCTTACCATACCCTTTAACAAATCGTCTGTAGTACCCTGTCAGTCCTAGGAACCCTCTGAGTGTTTTCACATCCTTCAGTCGGGGCCAGGTGACAATACTCTTAATTTTTGAGGGATCCACAGCCAACCCGTGTGCTGAAATGAAATGTCCCAAATATTCTAATTGGGGTTGTCCGAAGAAACATTTCTTTCGGTTGGCCACTAATTGATGTTCTAGCACTGTCTGAAATGTGAGACTGAGGTGCTGCATGTGTTCGTCCATTGTTTTGCTGTACACCAGAATATCATTAAAAAAACTAGGATAAACTTCCGAAGGTAAGGCCTAAAAACCTCGTTCATCAAGGCTTGGAATGTGGATGGGACATTGGTCAATACGAATGGCATAACGAGGAATTCGTAATGCCGTTCGTGAGTTTGGAAAGCCGTTTTGTGAGTATCCTCTAGTCGCACTCTGATTTGGTGGTACCCGGACTTTAAATCCAGCTTGGAGAATACCTCGGCTCCCCCAAGTTCGTTGAATAACTCGTCAATGGCTGGGATGGGAAACCTGTCTGGAGCTGTCACTTTGTTGAGGGCCCTGTAATCACGCAAAACCTCCACCCACCATCTTTCTTCTTAACCAATAGAACCGGACTGGAAAAAGGGCTGATACTGGGCTTAATAATCGCCGAAGCTAACATCTCACTAATGATCTTCTCAATCTCATTTTTCTGGTAATACGAATATCTATAAGATCTAAGGTTTGGGGGTTGGGCATTAGGGTTTAATCGAATGGCATGATCCTGGGGTCTACTAGGTGGTAATCCCGACAGTGGCTTAAAGACATATTGGAATTTTGCTAACACTGAAAACAACCTACTACTGACACTGGCTTCCTCATCCGACTGTTTTTGTAATTGCCCAAATTCAACCAGATAGCTAGTTCCTTCACTCTTCAATGTTCTGATCATTTCTTTCAAGGAGACCATTGTTTTACTAAGTGCTGGATCACCTATAAGAGTCACTATTTCCTCACCCAGCTGAAATTTCATTACTTGCTTTCTCCAATCCATCGTAGTCTCTCCTAACGTTTCCAACCAAGCCATACCTAGGACTACATCTGCATTACTCATGTCAAAAGGGAAAAAGTTTTGAATTATTTGCACCTTCTGAACTTCTAAACAGATTGCCTTACACTCTCCCTCACTCCTTACCTTATACCCATCTCTAACACGTACCCCAAACGCCTGTGTTTGTGCCACAACAATGCCCAACTTCTCTACAATCTCTCTACTAATGAAATTGTGGGAAGCCCCACTGTCAATCAAGATAATAACCTCCTAACCCATAATACTTCCCTTCAACTTCATCGTTTTTGGGCCATTGATTCCAACAACCGAGCTCAGGGAAAGTTCGACATTACCTTGGCCTTGTTCTTCCGTCGTTCCTTCACTGATTTCCAAGTCACTCTGGTCCAAATCTTCTTCTTCTTCTTCTTCATCAACGAGAATTACTTGAAACTGCTTCTCACCACACTTAGGACCAAAGAAATACTTCCCATCACACTTGAAGCACAAACCTTTTTCCCTTTTTCGCTGTATTTTGGCTTTCGTCATTTTTCGAAAAGGAAAATCACGTCGCGGTGGATGAGTTCTGTCGAATGACCTGAAGGTTGTAGATGTGTATTCGCGAGGAGAGGAATTGACCGATGAACCCACGGCAGCACCCTCTGCGTTTCGTCGTCCCGAGTTGGAGAATGAATTTGAGAATGAATTTGTTTTTAGGGATTCAGTTGAGTTTGGGAATTTGAGTGAATTGGGTCGGGTTGAAATCGGGTTATAACGTCTGGATCCAAGGTTATTTGACCCGACAGGAAGACCAGGCCCATTCCACCTATTGGTTCTCTTTGCCTCCTCTAAAGCCCAGTTATGTTCCTCCACTCTATGGGCTCTCTCTATGGTCTGAAGAAGTGTGTTAGGTTGGGTCAGTTTTAATTCGGCCCAAATCTCTGCCCTAAGTCCATTAAAAAATGCAGCATTCAAGATTTCTTCCTTCTCCTCCACTAACAAGGCAGCTACAGTCTCAAACCTGCGTCTAAACTCTACAACTGTACTGGTTTGTTTCATGACCATGAGAGTCTCGTAAGGGTTACTCTCTTGAGATCCACTGAATCTCTGAATTAGGGCGAGTTTGAACGATGGCCACGAGTTAACTGGTGCTCTGACCTCTATCCACTGATACCAGTTAATGGCTTCCCTTTCCATACATACTGCTGCAGCTGTGAGTTTCATCCGGAATTCCATTTAGACTAAAGTACCTCTCAATTCTAAAAATCCACCCGTACGGATCTTCACCCACAAAAATGGGTAACTCAAGTTTACGTCCTCCTAACTCACTCTGATTCTGTCCCGAACTTCTCGATCCACTGGTTCCATTTTGGTTTTCCCCACCCTGATTTCTCACGTTCCGGGATGATGTTGGTTCACCTCGCCCAGCTTCTTCTTCATCTTTTCTTCTCATCCAGCTTTGTATCTCGATCATGCACTCACGAATCGTTTCCATGTCAACCCCCAGTTTCGTCACTTCTCTTTTCACATTTTCTAGTCTAGATTCCATTCTCGTTGCAAACATTACCCACACGCCTGCTCTGATGCCAAATTGTTGCGAACCTACTCTGTTTTACTACTCAACCACCCACAAATTACCAACATCAGAGTATTCAACAATTAATTGTAAACATCCTGAAACATCTAGAACCTCAATGTATATATTCCATGGAAAAGTTCAGAATTACATTCATCTATAAACTATATCTCAACACCAGAATTCAATTAACAAACAATGAAAATGAATGGAAACTAATACGCTGGACTTCAAGGGCCAACTACCTCCCCTTTTACTAAATTCTCTCTTGATGACTTTTCAACCTCTGCTGCTCCCTTTTATTCATTTCCTTCCCTAACAGAATTCTACTCTCAGCCACTCATCTGTCGCCACCTGTCCACTCCACCTTTTTCTTCTTTTCACACTTTAGTTGCTCCCTTTATCACAACTGATTCCCTGGTGCTTCTTCCCACGCCTCTCATTATAAACCCTCACTTTACGTGTTGTATCAAAATGTTTTCTGTGTTTTGGTGGAAAGATTTGCGATTTGATTTAATCTTGACCCTATTTCTTTCATTTTCTTGCTTTTCTTTCATTTTCTTCCAGAATGTTGAAGCAGAAAAGCAGCTTAAATTTTTCCAAGGCTGTGTGGCAGCTGCTTTTGCAGAGAGGGATAATTCAATAATGGAGGTCATGGCAGTCATCCTCTTTAAGTTCTTTTGTTAATTATTGAACTTTTGGTGCTGAGTAAAATGCATTGTTAGTGCTGTCCTGTTTATGATGTTTCTAGAATATTCTAAGGATACTATCTGTTTGGTAACAGGCTGAGAAGGCTAAGGAGAAGGAGGAGCTCATGTCACAGAAATTTAATGAGTTCCATAAAAGGTATCTACCAGACCTTAAATCTTATAATTTCTCAGTTAGTCCTTGTAATCGCTGCTAGAAACTAAGAAGGGGAAAGGAAATGATTCTTCAGCTGCTGTGTTAGGTTTTGTTTGCCATTATTTTCAGAGTGTAATTATGCATTGTTTGCTTGAAATTTGATTGACATTTCCTAGCATGAAGAAAGGTAAGGAAACAAAACGAAAAGATATAGGGAAATTGATGATTTCTACTACTACAAGATGAGGAGATTGTTGGCTTGAAACAGGATCTTTTGTTTGAAAATCCTACCGGTTGGAATTAAAACTATATATCTTTAGGAGTGAATGCTTGTACTCTTCATGAATATCCATCTCCAATGGAAGTCCTATTTTCCAATTTTCTCTATCTATCTTTTTCTCCTTTCTGTTTGAGTACTTGTGATATATATTGAACATCTGGGCAGTACCCAACGGTTTAAGTTCTTATCTGCACTGAAGTGCCTAAAGTAGCGTTTTAAGGGGTCACAGTTTCCCTTTTGTCTGAATTGTTGAAATACGTTGACAATGGATAATTTCATCTGATACCAGCATCTGTATTCTAGTTGCATCAACCTGTAAATTTCACTCAATAAATTCATACATTTGAAATGATGAGCCACAGAGGTCTTTTCCAGAGCCAGGGTGTTTGTTGTTCTAAGATGAGCATACTTGAACTTTCTGACATGACAGGAAATATTGTTCTATTTGGACAACTAGTTAACATGTTTGGGGGAGTGCACGATTCATAATTTCTTCTTTTAATGTAAGGTGGATCTTCTAGATGGTAAATTGCTGCTTTTGTGTCACTGTTATGATGTTTTTTATCCGTTATCCATTGCAAAAAGATGTGAAAAATTGTCTCTGGGATTGGAATTTATGGTTTCTGGTTGTGTGTGTTAAATGCTTCCTCTAAGGCAGTGAAGCTGAATTAAGTTTATTTATCATTGAAACGAAGTTTGAGTGGATAATATATTATAATTTTGGGTAGATAATTACTTTAATATGATTCTCATGCTGCTTTGAATCTCTGCCGTAGCTGAATTTTTATACTGGTTGATATTTAACAGGGCAAATGATTTGAGTATATAAGTTCTTACATCTGAATCTGTGCTGAATTCGTAACACAGGTTGGAAGAGCTCACCTCAGATTGTCTTGAGCAGAAAAATCTTAATGCTACGCTGCAGGCTGATTTAGCAAAAGAAGAAGAGCTGAATGAAACTTTTAAGGAGGTAATCATCTTGGTTGGTTTTTTGATTAAGAAAGGACATCTGGTTACTTTTGTTAGCTTAATAAAAGTCATAATGCTGATTTTTTTGTAACATCGATTTAAAATGCTCCATTTGCATTGAATTTTACACAACCATGCTGCTAAGATTAAAATTATATCTACGGCTGTAATCTGACATTGCCATTTCAATGCAGCATAAAATGAAACTCATATAAGAACCTGTGATGTTTGCTCTGAAGGACATGCATTAATACTTACAAAAGTACAAAATTTTAAGATAGTAGGTGTAATTTGATAATTTCAGATAGTTAATAGAGTATTCACCTATTTAAAGTAACTGAGGCATTTAAATAATTATAAAGATTTAGCTCAATCTGGGTACATGGCGTTTCCTAACTTTTTCAAATTTATTGTTCTTCCTCACTGTGTGTTGTTGCTATTGAATGCAAACTCTAAGTTATAATTAAATAATTGCAAGTTTTTAATCTTTGGAGCTTCTTTTTTGACAAAGTTACTTGGTTCTCTTAAAACAGGTTATAAATAAGTTTTATGAGATCAGGCAGCAAGCTGTTGGGGGATTTGAGGATAAAAGTTGGGATGATAAATGTGCATGTCTGTTGCAGGATCCTGTAGAAATGTGGAGTTTCAATGATACTTCCACCTCTAAATACATAGTACGTTTTTATCTCTTTAGTTTTGCTTTATTATAACCTTTCATGGTAACTGTACACCTCTTTTATTGGTTAGTAGATCGCTATAACATTGTGATGTATGTGATTGCATTTTCTTGCTTAGCTATTAAAAGTGACTTCATTGATAGATTAAAAATGTTTGGGGGTTTACACTGACTTGATTTATAAGACAATGAGAGGAATATTAAAATTATAGATTTAAAGTATTAGTAACAGCATTAGTCATATCTGTCCACTATTTTTTGTGGTATTTCCAAACCTTATTTCCGTGTTTTGCATCTGGATTTGTTCTGTGCAAATTCTCTTTGGCCTCATCCTCGGGCTTAATTGTTGTATGGTTGAAAAATATCAGAAATAACTTCTGTTTTGAATTTTATGGGTTACCCTCAAATCTAGTCTTTTGCTTTCTAATAGCAAGGCTATTGGTTTAGTTCACTTACATTTTTTAGTTTCTTAGATGAGTGGAACTTGTGGAGATTCTAGATGTTAAGGAGGATGAGAAGGTTAACAGAATAACGAGTGTTGTTTTGAGAAGTTATTGAGAGGTCAAGCTTAGTGATTGCTCTCACAAGGTCTGCGATGTGATCCTCAACTTACCTGGCTAAAAACCACGAGTTTCAAGTTTTCTAAAGATTGTAAGGTTTGGCAGGCGCCCAGGTTTCAAAACTCAATTCGCTAAGTGGAAAATGCGTTCATGGAATAGCGAGCTATTTTAAAAAGAAAAAGAAGCTGTATTTAAATAATATGAAAATTAAATCAATACTCATTTCAATTTGAAGGTATTTTAAATAAGATGAAATAAGCATATCAGGAGAACACCTATTCACACAGCAGGAAAGTGGCCTGAAATAGGCAAAAGTATTGACATGCACCAGATACGGCTTTAACTATGTGATGGCTTTGCTTCAGATGATAAGAGTCAATGATTTTGTTTTCCATTGTTAATGTTGAAATCCATGGATTTAGTACTTTGACCTGAGAATCTACTTGGTTTGTTTCCTGACTACTATAGGATAATCATTCCATCAATTTTGTGGTCGTATGCTTTACTTGTGTGTAGTGCTGCCTTCTTATGGTATAAAAATTGCATTGCTAGATCTGGTGCCTAATCTTTTTGTGGATCTGGGGAGTTGAACAACCTTGTCAGCTTGTTTTTGTTGCCACAATGAATATGATAATATTCTTGAATATTTTTCTAACTCTTAAACTCTTGAAAAGTGAAATTGCTGTTCAATTGAGATTTTTGTTGTCTACGTGCAACTTTAATAACTTTGCCTCAGACAGAGTGCATTGGAAGATGAGCTGGAGAAAATGAAGAGCTCTGCAGAGAGTCTTCAAAGTAAATTACGCATGGTATTAATATCGTCTTGGTCCACATGTGCCTTCGCTCTTTTGCAAATTGAATATTCTATTGCATCTTAATTGCTAATGCATTCGGTTTCTTTATATAGGGTCTGGAAATTGAAAACCATCTAAAGAAGAGTGTTCGTGAATTGGAAATGAAGATAGTGAGTACTTAAATGTCTTATAATATTTATATATGTATTCCAAACCTCTTTTGCTTATTCTTTTTAATTTTGTTACTTATATGCAGTTCCGTTCAAACAAATTCCTAATCAATGGGATTGTAGAATTACGCCACTTCCATTCTCAGCATAAAGTTGACATTATGAACTTACTTGATGAGGGAAGATCCCATATTATATCAATTTCTGATATGATCCAAGAAAACATTCAGCAATTTGATGTGGGCAGAGGACAGAATACGGGGACTAATCAGAGAGATGAAAACTTAGACGAATATGAGTGTCATGATGTACATATAAGTACTGATGCTAATACCAGTTTAGTATCTAAGGTTTGTACAGTAATCCCCTTCAGTTGCAAACTTGATAGTTTTGTTTGCTCTATGTGTCAAGATGTACACATAATAGACATTTAATTTTACTTGGAGGGCTATTGTTTATTTAGCAGAACTAATCTCTATAGGTACAGTCATGGAATCATGATATAACTGTGTGGAGGAAGATGCTTTTTTGGAATTATGAACTGGATATGTTTGTCAGTCCACTTGTTCTTGTGCTCTACAGTTATAAATTTTATTTAATCTTATTCTCTATCTGTTGCAGATGAAGGGCCCTGGTTTATCTGATGCTGTAGCTGAAAGAAAGGGTGATACCTCTGAAGCCCTTGCATTGGCTTTGCAAGAGAAGGTTTTGTGTATTTTATATTTATCTCCTCTATTTGGATTTACTTTTACATTAACTGTTTGTCTATTTTTTTCTTGAGGGTACAGTTTGTGAGGCCAATATGTTGTACTTATATTATTGTTACTCAAACTTTTGTTCTTTACCAGGTTGCAGCATTATTGCTTTTATCGCAGCAGGAAGAAAGACATTTATTGGAAAAAAATGTGAATGTAGCTCTTCAGATGAAGATTGAGGAACTTCAGCGAAACTTATTACAAGTAATTTCATGGCTTTACTTCAAGCACGTAGTTAAGATGTTACATTTGGTACTTGTGACAGATAGGAAATCTTCTTGTGGAGAATTTCAATATTACAGTTGTATTTCAGATGACAGGAAGCACACTTGAATCAATGATATTGATTTGTTTCTTCTCAAAATAATAATAAAATAAAAAAAATGATGACAGGAAACCCACATCTAATTGTATGGTGTACTTCCTCCATGCTGTCTTACAATGTGCAATTATAGTTCCTGCATTGGCATTACCTGAGCTTGTTCCATGGTATATATGGCAGCTAGGTGACATTAGTCTCAATTCAGTAGTACCATAAAATCATGTGTAAATTAAACCTGTCCGTATATTGATCTCCTTTGTGTTTTGGAGTTATTTGTTCCCTTGTCTGAAACGAGGTTCTTTTCTCATGTTTGACCTTTTTCAAATCTAAATAAATTGAGTGTATTTGAGAACTTGTCTAATTTAAAATTGGCAAGATCATGAATGTACAAAAATATTTCTTTTCTATGACTGTTAAAGTTAACTATTAATGGTAACTATTATTGTAGGATCTGTTTGTTGCATGTTGGTGATTGCTGATCAATTGTGAAGTTGCCTACGGGAGTTTTTATTTTTTATTTGTGCATTACCCTCAGGAATATTTCTAAGTTTGAACAAATGCTTTGAAACTTGTACCATAAAAAGCCTAGCAGTAGAGCATATTACAGAATGTGTATATATTCCTTGGTTTAAGAAAATTATGTTGCATTTTAAAAGCTTTTTCTTTTTTTGGGTCTAGAACTTTGGCTTCTCTTGTGAGTGTTATGCTTTTATAATCTTAAATAAATTTGTGCCCTTACCTTAAAGTTGAATTCCTTGTTGCTTTTGTTGGATAATAATATTATTTGATTAAACACAACTGATTTTTTAACAGCCTTGTTGCTGCAAAGTTTGTTGATTGGGTTGAATATGTCAATGGTTTAGGTTACCAATGAAAAGGTAAAAGCTCTCGTGGAGTTGGCACAGTTAAAGCAGGAGTACCATCTGCTACAAGAGTATGATCCTTTTTTTGGCAAAAATATTAGTTCTTTTACTGCTGATGTTCTGTGAATTTCAAGTAGGATAAAAAATATGTAAATAAATGTGAGAACTCGTTTTTGTGTGAAATACTTATTTGAAATTAGTCATCTTTATCTCTTCTTATTTTGGGTACAACTGAGAAGTACTTTATATAGCATTGGTTGAACTGTTATTTATTTCAACATTTCACTGATTATGCATTTCTTCCTTTAATTTTTCAATTGTAAATATATATTTTATGTGTTCTTACAAATCTGAATGTGGAACCTTTTCATTTTGAGTTATCTCAATACATTTAAGTTGGAATGGTACTGTGCTGTTTTCAACCAAAAATATATTTTAATAAACTGCATATACTGTGTTAGAAGTTAAATTTTTCATACATAGCCAAGTTTTTGTTGGGCTGTTATAGTGTAGATATGTGGTTGTATGCCCTCTTCTTTTGAGCTAGCTTTTGGAGTGAATACTAACCAGACTCATTTATCATGGTATTAGAGTCTTGCATGTGCAAGTGATGATGGTTTTGGACGTTGGCCTGCACCCTACGTGTGAAGGAGGGCGGTAGAAGTTAAATTTATCCCAAATTGCCAAGTTGCTTGGCTGATATGGTGTATATAAATGGTTAGACGCCATACTCCTTAAAACTAGCTTTTAGGCTTGAGTTCTATCCAAGCCCATTTATCACTATGGAATCTTTTTTGGAATTTGTTTTGTGAGTTCATCCACAGCAAAGCTCAATGCTTAATGTTTTTTTTATGAGCTTGTGGTTGGAATCAATTGTCTTCTCAGTTTCCATGCAGACTATCATGTCCATACTATTATATGTTCTGTTTTATATGGCCATACTGTTATGGCTCAATTAGGTTGGCATTCTTTCTTTTCAAAACCAAGAAATGAGACAATGCTTTATAGCATTTCCACTATTTTCTTATTCAATTAAGTAGCATGTGGAGGTAATCATGTGTCTTGTAATCTTTGATTCATTCCTCGTGATGGTGGCTTTGCTGGTCTTTCTTCGATAAAAGAAACCGTTGAAATTTACATAAGAGTACTTGATGGGACCTGACAATGAGGGTGTAGGAAAAGTGAAATAAGGTAGCCAGTAGTAGATTGAGGGGATGTTGGCAGAAAACTTCCATGGGTTTAGGCTGGGACAGATGGCGATTAGGGGCTGGGACAGGTGTGGCGATTAGGGGTTGGGACAGGTGGCGATTAGGGGTTGGGACAGCAAAGGAATTCAGTTAGGGAGAGAGAGAGAGAGAGCTGGAGGATAAAAAGAGAGGGAGAGAGCAGATTAGAGGCAGAGAAGAATATAGGGAAATTTGGGAAGAGCTAACCCTCGGAGTTAGCAATTACGGAGGAGCTAGCCGTCGAAGTCTAGCATTGTTTTTCCTTTCATATTTTGATTTTGTCCTTTTGGTTGATGTGCTGGGTATATTTTGTTGTTTTGTTGCCATTGTTATTAGTTTGTTGAATATCAATACACATATCTATTTTCTTCCTATTTCTTGGTTGTTGTCTGTTATTAATTTACTGTTTTGGTTGAGTTTTGGGAGTTGGTTCTCATCAATACTGCTTAGCTTTGTTGTAAAAATTTGGAGTCAGACAAACTAGTAAAATGTGTAGAAGATCTTTTTATTGCCATACAACAAGTGTTTCATGTTTTTGTCCATCTAAAATCATTATTTTGCAAGTATTAAGGAGTATAACTGATTGTTTCTGTTGTGCCTTTTTCTTTTAATGATTGATTTAGATGTTTCACCGTGCTAGATTTGTTAATGATGTACTTTGTTGTAATATGCTGTGATACCTATAACTTTTTCCTTACTGGAAAAATCTACCCATCCTCAAGTGATACTCAGTTTTAGTTCTGATGATTTGACAGAAGTACCTCTGATTACAATGCGTCAAAACTTGTGTAGGAAAATCAGTTATGGAAAGAAACAAGGGAAAGATTGGGCTGAAATTGGGGAAAATAGACTTGTTACTCCTGATAGAGATGGAAGGTTAAGGAATTTGTTCAAGAAAACATATCTAAGACGTTGGATTGGTGCACAGGATTTGAGTAGACAGGACACTCAAGCTCGCCTAAATAATGCAGGGGACATGACTGCCCGAAGTACCAGTAGTATGGATTTTGCCAGGTTGGTGAATTACTTTCTGATACTTTCTTGGAATTGCATGATGTGGATATGTGGTTCATATTCTTACATAGGATGCCCCTTACCTTGTTTTGTGTACTGATCATTAGATCAAAATAACATGAAAAAGGTTTGTGTCTTTTCTTGGAATTGCATGATGTGGATATGTGGTTCATATTCTTACATAGGATGCCCCCTTACCTTGTTTTGTGTACTGATCATTAGATCAAAATAACATGAAAAAGGTTTGTGTCTTTTCTTACTTCTATTTCTTGTATGATTATTGTTTCTCATATTTATTTTGCAGAATGAAGATTGAAAATGCAACCCTTAAGGAGAGCATGGAAAGTATGGAGCATCTGACCTCTTCAGTTCATAGACTTCGTCTCTCGCTTTCCAAGGTAGTTTTAGAATGCCCTGACATCATTATTCATTTTCTTCAACACATGGGATGTGACATCATCTTAATTTTTCTTTTAGCAGGTCAAAGAATCAGCTACTTCTGAAGGTACGGTTACCACTAGCATGTTTGAAGCTCTTGATGAAATTGTTACCGAGGCAAAACTTATAAAGACTGCCCTGGGCAGCTCCCTACCGTTAAGTTGGTCAGCTGATGCAGATGACGGATCCATTGGTGAAACTATGGGCAGTGAAGTAGATGATATATATGTGGACTCGAGCAATGAGAAGATTGATTCGGTTTCTGCTGCAGGATTTGAGATGGTGGAGCTAGTAATACTCGCATCACAGATATTGAAAGACAGCGCAACCAAAAGGGGTTCCTGAAGTGAAGCTGATTAGAACTCATGTTGATACCGGAACTTGTCACAAACTAATTCTGGTTTGTTACTTTTTGGATCCAGTTGATTCTTGTGCTGGGAAGAATTGGTTCTTTGTATATATGTTGATATCCTGCGATTAGGACATGAAAGAAAATCTACGAGGGCAAGGGAGGAAGGAAATGAAAATGCAGCGACACTGGAGGAGACAATGTCGAAGAGGTCGAGTGGAAGACCTTGCAATATCGTGTCGTTGTTAATTTATCCCCTTATGATTTGATCTTAGTGTGCTTTGGGGAATTCTGGCAGCTTCAGTTCTTGAAAATTTATACATGGGGTGTTGCTTGTATACTGTACAGTGATACGATAATTGGATTAATATTTATAATTTTTTGTGGAAAAGTCTAAGCCTAAGCACCAAATCTTTGTTTGCCTGGTATAAGCTAATATATCTCATTTTGTGACTGATTTTACATTCACCATGATGTTAGTTTTTGGATAAAGAGAGTATCCATCTGTTACCTAATAAAATATCTCGTGTTGTTATCCGAGCGTTGCATTGAAGTCGAAGAAACATTGATTTTGACACCTAATTGGTAAGCATTGGATTTCTCAACGAATAATCTGCTTCTAACATTTGAATCTCCCTAATTTGGTTACATCAAAAGTTTACTTTGTATTTGATACATTTATATAAATTTGGATCATCTGTAATAATACACACCCATCATCATATTTCAAGCAAATTCTGTAACAACCTGTGGCAAAATCTTATTATACTCACTCAACCTCGCTTAGAAAAAAACCCAATGCCCACAAATCATAACAGAAATACATTAACAAAGCTTAAAGCGTAAAAAACCATCCTGTAAGAGTAAGTAGAATTTCAATAAGAAAATTCATTTGAAGGTTATGACTCCGCCGCGATTTCCACAGATGGAAGTTTGTCAGTCATTGGATTCTTGTCATGATCATTCTCAAGCTGGCTGTAGTTTCCTTTCTCCTTGAAGAGTTGAATGTGGTGATGCTTGCAATAGAGTTTTCCCTCGTGTGCTATGTAGTTAGATGGGCTGATTGTGCACCCTCCATGGCTGCATTTGAAGCAGCTCCTGTGATATGCAGTTCCATTTACAGAAACCTACCACATTAACACAATTACTTGATTACAAATATAAATATAAATATATTTCTCTCTGGATAAGGTTATTATGCTAAAACAAGTGAATTTGTTACCTTCTCAATTGGATAAACGGTTTTATTGCAGCCAACACATTTCTCTCTGGTACCGGCAAACATGTTGGAAACTTTTTGTGCGTTCTGTTAGAAGAAATCTCGTGTAAGTTATAGAGAAAGAAGACGAGCATGGATTGAATTTTAAAAACTTCATGGTTAAGGGAGTACCTCATTATTCTCGGCAGGCTTTTCAGGTTTCACGATTTTTGGTGTTCCTGAAAGAATATAGAGAAAGAAGACAAGCAGATTGAAAGGTCAGATCAATTCAATTGGAGGTTGCAAGACTAATAAGAATTTATATTATAGTACATAAAGTTATTATTTTAACCTTCAAAACTCTTGTCCAGACTGCCAGTTCTCTTGAATAGTTGATCAAAGTGAGGCCTGCAATAGAGCACTCCCTCAAAAGAATTGAAGTTGCTCAGCTGCAAATTTACAAAACGCCACATGGAAAGAAAAGAAAAGAAAATTAAAATTTATTAGAAAAAGAAAAGAGAGAGAAAAAAAAAACTGTGAAAACAGTGCAGAAGTATGATACCGAACCTGAAAATTCAAAAAAAAAAAATAAAAAAAAAAATACAATACAAAGATTAGCAGAAATAAAATCAGAAAAAATTCAGACTCTGGCAGCACAGCTTTTAATTTCTCTCTGAATTTGATAACCAAATCAAATGTAGGTCTTTTGATCCCGAAGCATATATAATAATTGAGACATCTGTTAATTGGTCTAGCTATATTATTAGATAGTCTTTTTCTTACATTTTCATGCATTATTTATTAGATCCTTGAGCCAGTTTGATCATTTTCTGAATTGCTGCTTGAATTTGGAACAAATCCCAGATGTTAACAGTTAGATTTTGGCTTGATTAAAAGTTACATTCCCACATACCAAAAGGAAAGATGAGAAGAAAGAAAGTGACAACGGGGATGTTTTGGGATTACCTTGAGAGTGCCTTTACAATGGTGGCACCTGAAACAGGCCTTGTGGAAGACTCTGTTATCAGCAGTTAACTTATCAACAAGATACACAGTTTTGTCACAGGCCATGCATTTCTGTTGAGTTCCTGCAAAGGTAGCCATAGCTAGCTAATTCAATTCCTTCTCCAATTAACCAAACCTAGTGTATATAAATATAAATACAAAGAAAGATTTATGAAGAAGAGCAAGGGGTTAATTCTTGGTTGTTGACAGTTAGTTGATTATTGATGAATAAAAATAAAGAGAGAAATGAGAGGTGATAAAAGAGAAATAGGGGGGGGTTTGGTGAAAGTGATGAATATCAGGTAACATGCAAAAACTGATTTATAGAAGATTGATTGAATGGCCTGGCAACTTAGTTATCATTTTGTCCGAATTTAAAGCAACTCCAATAGTATTTTGTTCTGTTTCTTTTCACTGCTTTTCTTTTTTTAAAGTTTCTTCTCACTTTCCAGTTCACATAATCTCATTTTTCTTCTATATATTCTCTATACTAGGAAACCATTACAATGTGTCTTAACTCATTAAGGACACATTATAAAGAAAATATTATCAATATTATTTCAGATAATATTCCTTTAATACACCTTTGAGAATAATGAAATTTAGAAAAAAAAAATATATATATATATAGTTTGCCCTCTTTGCTTAAAATAGGCAACTCTTTTAAGGTAATTAAAGGTTTAAGTTAAAGAATTAGATATTTTTTTGGGAAAAGCTTATTGGGTACTTTTTTTTAAGAAATCTTATTATTATAGAGTTAATAATAAATCCACCTAAAGTTTGATAAAATAACAAATATCCTCCTGAGGTTTAGAAAATAACAAAAATTCCCCTGCTGTTAATTTTTAGATGTTAAAATAAACATAACATGGTCATTTGAAAATATTTATCAACTCATAACATTGTAAATTTTATCAAATCATTTCACAGGGGGATTTTGTTATTATATCATTCCTAGGGGTCTCTTATCATTATTATTATTCAGAAGTTAATGAATATAGACACATGGATAGAAACTATTGGTTTAGGTAGAAAATCAACAATAGTGTGAGCTTTTTTGCTTTTGTCAAAGGTGGTGGACCAAAGCTTTTATGGAGATTTGAGTAGCAGAATTTCATTATGAAGGGTTAGCTGGATTCATAGTTGGTAACCTTTTTAATTGTTTAATTAATAATCTGGGTGCCCATGAAATTGGCCCAGCATCAAACTCATAATAATCGAAGTTAGTGTCATCCTTTTATTTGGTAATGGGTAACCATCAAAATCCATTGAAATTCTGGCATTACAAAATGTTGTTGTTTAACAAGGTGACCTAACTAATCACACCGATAATGAAAGATTATCTTAAACCCTAATTATTTACAAACATTCTGCTCTTAAACACTAATGAACCCCCTTTGAATGGCAAGTGCCAAATGCCAATCAAATTCATTGCACATGAACAAATCATATCTACACAATATTAAGTATAATGTTCATGATTATGATATACAAGTTTTAAATTAAACCCAAAATGAATTATATTTCACAGAAAAGTGTTGAATGAATGGGAAGGAAATAGTATTGGTGTAAGGTAGAGTCCAAAAGAATGGAGTCGAACGAGAAGTTAATGGTGGTGAATTATGAGGAAACATATTAAGTTGTAGTGTTAGTTTTGTTGTTGCAAGAATAAGACATCAAATCAACCAAACTTCACAATAACGAAGGTTGATGATAAAGATGCATGCCCAATTACTATCCTCAACCGAGCCAAGTACTGATCCCTAGTTCATTATTACTACAAACTTTTGTTTTCTCTGAATTTAGATTTCTTATATACAAACTTCTTATCATGTGAGCATTTGGTCTAGTGGTATGATTCTCGCTTTGGATGCGAGAGGTCCCGAGTTCGATTCTCGGAATGCCCCCTTTTTTACCAATTTAACATGCCGTAGCAGCCTGCGTAAACAGGCTGTTAGAAGATTAAGGATAAAAACGTAACTTCAATCCAATCAATTAAAAAAACCGTCCTCTCACAATTCATCAACCGCATGTTAAAAAACTCTTACGCAATCTGAAAAGAAAAGAGCCCATTAATCTTGAGCAACTTGACAAAACCAAAAACACATGAATTCAGTCATTTAATAGTTGCACAAACAAAAATGAAAAATCTCGATTTAAGGCAGATCTCCGCTGCACCGCTTTCTACATTTCTCAATTTAAGGCTCATGTCTTGAGTTAATTATTATGCCATTGTTCCAGATGACGTTTTGGTTTGGTGCTGTTGAAGAAGGTTGTGCAGTGGTGTGGTAGAGGAGGGTTTGCTGGTGCTAGGTGGAATGAAGTGGCTGTTTGGGGAGGCTGGGTCTGCAGCATCAAACCGGTCACACTCAGTCGTTCACATCAGGTTGTGAAAACCGGCCACGCAATGCCACCAGTGTGAGGTGCCAACGCTAGGCTGTCAGCATGAGATGGCGTCACTGGGACGCCATCGTGACGTTGCTATGCGTCCACTCGCCGCTGCCGAGGAAGCCAAGCTCAGAGACACCAATATGTTTGTTTTCCAGGGTTTTAGGGTAAAGATAGAGGAGGAAGAAACATGAAAATAAAAAAGAGAGATATAATATTAATAAAATTAAATGTTTAATTTTCATTGTATTAAATTCTTAAATTGGTGAAAAAAAATATATCATAAAATTTTAAATATTTATTTTTAATTTTGAATCTATTAAATATGTTAATAAAAATTAATACGTTTGTAATTTTAAGGATATAATGGTTAATAAAATCATTAAGTTGCCTTTATTGTTAAAGTTAAATGTAATAAACATCATAAGGGTAGATAGGTCTTTTTAACAAACAATCACTTTTTCCATTAAATATACCCTAACAACAGCTAACAGATTGGGGTTATGTATTAACCTAATGGGCATGAGTGTGATTAACTCCTATATTAATAGAGTCTCTGAAAGTCAACACCTCAAAATCACACAACTTATAATAAACCAAAAACCATTCTTTCCATTTGATTGGAAAAAAAAAAGAAGATAAAAATAGAAGTTAAAACAGCACATCTGGACATGAAGTTCGGCCAAAGTTAGAAATTAGGATCATACCTCCAACAAGAAATCTAAACCAATGTCAGCATGGAACAGAGCCAAACTTTTTGTATGATCCACGGTCCCACAACTTTCCTTTTTATTTTGCTAAAGCTTTGGACACTCTTCCTGCCAGTGATACAGGTTAATCAAATGCATCAAAGAGTTAGACCAGAAGATATTGATCCTATAGACAAATTTAATTACAAATAATCGGAATACTACAAAACCAATGCATTAGTAAGAAAATTTACATTAACGCATCAATCAAGAGGGCATTTGGTCTAGTAGTATGATTCTCGCTTTGGTTGCGAGAGGTCCCGAGTTCAATTCTCAGAATGCCCCTTCCCTTGTCTTTCCTATTTTTATAGTTTAAAAAATTTTGCTTGCTCCCACACATTAGTTATAACACTATTTTACTTATCTATGCCATAAGTAAATATGGCCCAAAGTTGACTAACAATATACAAAACAAAATTTTGATGAATATATTACTTTTCTAGGAAGTCAGCAATATGGCCTAAAGTTGACTAAAAAGCTACAAATAAAATTTTGATGAATTCAGATACTGCATACAGGTTTTCTGACAAAATTCTCAACCAATATATGGAAAAAAAATAAACAAGTAGCAGATCTTGATTTCAAGGTTGTGTGGGAAACCTATAACCATACCGGTAACCCTTAAAAGACGTCAGATTACATGTATCTGCCTCAACATGCCAAACATGCACGTTCATGTTAATAAAATTAGAAGGCAAAATATGAGCATCGTTTCATGCCACTAAGTAAATCTGCACAGAAAATCCAAAGATGATATCCAATATGTTCCAACATTTCATAAGATTCAAAGTACCAAATGCAAATTCTTCCAAGGGATTTCTACCTTAACAGGGATATCACATCAAAATGCATTACAAGCCAGGACTGGAAAAATATTGGTCTTCTAGAGATGTTTACTAAGAATGCAACTCGAATGCTTGGAGAAGGAAAGGGATATTTATTTAAGTTTTGCAAGCAACAACCGGAGGGCATTTGATCTAGTGGTATGATTCTTGCCTTGGGTGCAGGAGGTCCCAAGTTTGATTCTTGGGATCCCCTTGTTTTTATTTTAGCTTTATAAGTCAAGATATTTAGTGGGTTGGCAACTGTACGTGCAACCTCAAAGTTCAGAGTGAAGAAATTTACCTAAACTTGCCAAACACTATAACTCACAACAGCAAAACAAAAGGGAGCACACGTGCAGTGCCTCATAGTGTAGAAGTACATTTGATAGCAAATTCAAAGATGGATTCCAATATGCACTGTGCACCCCTTTGCCAAAATCCTCTTACAAATCATTTGAACATCTGTTCCAACGGCTTTAACTGATCTAAAGTAACAAATAAAATTTCTTCTAAAGCTTTCCACACAAACATTATCTGGGGTATGACAAAGAACCGAATCAAAAAGCCACAATCCAAAAGAAGTTGATTCTGTAGAGATGAGTTTGATGTAAAAAACTGCAAAGCATTCAGGAAGAAAATAGATATGAATAAAGAATTAAGCATAAAAGTATCAACAAGTGGGCATTTGGTCTAGTGGTATGATTCTCGCTTTGGGTGCGAGAGGTCCCGAGTTCGATTCTCGGAATGCCCCCATCATTTTTTTCCCCTGACATGCATATTATATGACACTGCTTAAATATTATACAGGTATGCCTGTGAAAATGCATATTATATAGGGATGCCTGTAAAATTACAATATAATATTTGGGTGAATTTGCATACAGTTTTCATCTGACAAGATCCTTAACCAATAAATTGAAAATACAATATAACATTTCAGTGAATTTGAATGCAGTTTTTATCTGACAAGATTCTTAACCAATAAATTGAAAATACAATATAATGTTCCAGTGAGTTTGAATGCAGTTTTTATCTGACAAGATTCTTAACCAATAAATTGAAAATACAATATAATGTTCCAGTGAATTTGAATGCAGTTTTCATCTGACAAGATTCTTAACCAATAAATTGAAAATATAAATAAGTAGCAGATGTTTATTTTCGACATGTGCAAGATATAATTACACCTATAACCAAAAGTCATCAGAGCAAAGATATCTGCCGTAACCTGCCAAAAACTATAACTCATGGCAATAAAACAGAGTACATATACAGTACCAGTCTAATATTCTAAAACCAGAACAATTGGGAATTTGGTCAACTATCTCGCTTGGGTTTGGGAGGTCTAAGTATCTGATCATTGGAGGCCTCTATTTATTTGTACCTAAAAATGAACTAAATCATAGGGTTGGTGTTTCGTTCCCTACATCACAGTTTGAACCATGTAAGCATAGAGGAATTATCAAGCATAAAGACAACAACAGAACTACAAAATGAGTTAGTAAGGAATCCAGATATACCATGTCTTTTTAGAAAATATTATTTTTCAGTAAATCTGAAGAGACGAGAAAAATCAGGTGCTAATTACCCAAAAAAAAAAAAATCAGGTGCTGAAATCAAGGTGGGAAAGATAATACAATACCTGTACAATCTGATACCAGAACTATAGGTAGCAAAGGCTCCAGGTGACCCAAAGGTTTGAAAGCTATTTCTAAAACCCTTTTGCATAGCAGCTTACTAGGAGCATGAAACCAGAACTACATCAATACTCATTTTGATGGATTGGTTCACTGAAAATAAAAAATAATTGGACAGTAAGACATAAATTACAAATTAAACACACATCTGTCAATCACTACCCATTGGCATGAAATTTTGGATTAAAGATGATATCCAATATGTACTATAAATCTCACTCGGTTGACTTTCCAGGCACACATAAGCCCAACATATGAGCCACAAATTTTAAGAGATCCAAAGTTCCAAATGCAATTCTCTTCAAAAAGATCTCACATATATATACCTTATCAGAAAATAACATCTACAACTGCATTACAAACCACAAATCAGAAAAAGCTGCTACTCTACGGACAAGATTGATAAAAATGACCACAATGTTTGCAGAAAGAGAACTTGGCTTTAACAAGAAAATAAGCATTGCAAGCATCAACAATTGGGCATTTGGTCTAGTGGTATGATTCTCGCTTTGGGTGCGAGAGGTCCCGAGTTCGATTCTCAGAATGCCCCTGTTTTTTTTTCCCTAAATTATAGACTAAAATAGTACATTTTAGTCAAAACTGACAAATTTTACTGCACAACGATTGAGGAAAGAGAAATCAGTATAAATTATAATTTAAGAATGACATGCATCAACAAACAGGCATTTGGTCTAGTAGTATGATTCTTGCTTAGGGTGCGAGAGGTCCTGAGTTCAATTCTCGGAATGCCCCAACTTTTTTTTTCCATGAAAATGTTTAGTTCCTTGCATTAAGGTTTAATTTATAAAGGTGTACAATCTGGCCCAAAGTCAACATTATAAAATTTAACCAGAATTTTGTTATCAGCTTTCTGCAAAATTTCCAGTAAGTTTATCCACAACCCACCCTACAAGCACTAGTTTAAATTTCCTAACACCAGATCAACTTGCAAGTTATCTAGTCATTGTTAAGCACTCACTTGATCTAAAAACATAAAATTAGTAAAAAGCCTAATAATAGCATTTAAGCTCTAACTAGCCCTTCATGTGCTCTTGCACATGGACCAAAAATACTCACAATCAAAAGTATACAGTGTTAACAATTAGGGGGTGATTGTCTAAGCTTATAAGTTGGTGGTCAAACTAGCTTATAAACTCTAAAATTAAGCTGACCTGTTTGTTTATAACTTTTTTGAACTTATAATTTGATCAAGTATATTACCACATTATCCTTATTTAATTTTAAAATTCCATAGTATACCCTTGTTTAATGTAGTACCCTTTTTAGTCATTTTATAATAAAATGTACTTATAAGCCACATTTTACCAAATACGTTAATTACTTATCAGTCACTTAAGTACTTTAATCAAACACGTAATTGCTTAAAATTTCAAATGTTTATAAGCTAAAATTAGCTTATAAGCACTTATTGCTTATAAACTAATTTTCATAAGTTCAGACAAACACTTCCTTAATCTAAAGCTTAAACTAACAGATGGGCCCAACAATATCATTTATGCTCTAACAGTCAACTACTAGAAACCTTCATATAATTAAAAACAAATATGCATTAGTGTATGGAATTTATAATGAATAACTGCTGTTTTTTAATTGATTCATCTCCTGAATCAAGAATATTCATTCACATCATTCAGGTGAATGACAATATCTGTATCAAAATTTAGTCAAATATAAAGCAAGCAATTCAGAAATAAACAAGATACTATACAGAGATTGACAAAATATGCAGGAAATATTTTAAGCCCATGAACATCAGATCAGCTGGAAACATAGGGAAAAAAAAAAAAAGCCGGGCATCAAATATAATATATTTGCTGAACCACTAGTTTTTCTACGGGTTCACAAGGATGATTTCACAACCAAGAATCCTTAGAAAAAACAAAGAAATTAATTATTTTCAATCATACAATCTATAATTTCTGAGCATTAAACCTAGGTTTTATTTCCCCTTAAGGCAGCAATTTGGCATTTGGTTGAGTGCTATGACAGTCACTTTGGGTGCACAAGCCCCTTAGTTTAGTTCTTGGAAGTTAAACATTGTTTTAACCTAAAGATACACTGATTACAGGGTGTTCACTTCTCAAAATAACAGTTCAAAACATGAGTAAACTAATCTGACATAAAAACAAAGACTAAACTACAAAATTTGTTCATAAAGAATTTAGATAAACATATATTTTAGGACAAAATAATTTGACTAAAGAGAAAAACCAGCAGATGTTAATATCAAGGTGGGCAGCAAGTGTATTACCTTCACAATAAGTATACAACAAGACCAGTAATTAATGAAGCCAAAACAAGATCCAAAGGTCTGAGCCTTTTGTAATGTGCTCTACCAGGAGCACAAACGACACCAACAGCTAGAAACCAGAGATTGTCAATAGAAAACTAATTATTAATGGTATTAATCACAAGCCGAAAATTATAAACATCAAGAGTTGGGCATCTGTTCTAGTGGTATGATTCTCACTTCCGGTGCAAGTATGACGAGTTTGATTCTTGGAATAAGCCTACATTTTTTACTCAAAATCTAACAATACATAATTTAAAAAGTTTCAGATACTTTCTTTCACAGCCAAGATTCAACACCATTAAATTGAAAAAACAAATAAGCGGCAAACGTTGGCATTAAGGTGGCTAAGCTAGGATTATGCATGGAACCTCGCAGTCATCAAAAGGCCTTCGCTTTACATGAACAAACACATGTGTCCAAGGCAATGAAGCAATGGGTAGCCACACGTAGTTTCACAATATCTGAACAACAATTTGAAAGGAAAAATCAAAGACTCAATCAACAATAACCTATCAGGGTTTAGCAAGGGGCCTAATTTGAACTCAAGTTAGTTCAACAGCTTTGGAAGATTTATGTGCCCATATTCGATATCCCAAATGGAGGGTAAAGATAAAAAACTATTCGAGACAATCAAAAATGGAAAGTAATGGAAACCTATATATGGGCTTTTGACCAAATGCATCAAATTTTTTTGAAGAAAAATGCATAAGTTCTATAACATTCATGAAATAGAAATGCTGTCCTTTGATTGATACATCGACAGAATTAAGATTTGCTCAGCCTCTGGAATACGAGTAATGCTTTGATATATTCTGAGCCTGTTCCTGCCGAGCTAAGTGACACTGCTAGAATTTCAAAGGCTTCTGGTGTCAAGAAAGCAAGTTATTTTTAGTTCTACCTCTAATCAATAAAAAATGATCTTAGTCAACTTAATGCATATAAGGCTCACTATCAGAAAGACACAGACTAGACCGAAGTCCTTCCAATCAATAGTTGAAAATCAAATCATAGCACGATTATAGGTTTCAGAGATATGATCCTTAGAGATCCCACTCACATTGAAAAATTTTACTAAACCCCAATTGACCTCCATTTGAGTGATATAACAACTGCTAGTAAAACTAAAGTGTAAATGATCACTATTTACTGACAAATTGGTTCACCTGTATATAAAAGGAGAGCAACAAATATCCAGACTACCTAAGCAGACAAACCAAGAACTTCTCATATCCTTGGCATCAAATGTATATTGCTGTCAAAAAGTCAGGAGCTACAAGCAACCAAAATACACAAGGAAAAAGAAATACACAATTTTAACCAGAATTTCGTTAGAAAGGTAATGTCAGAACATGTGTCATTTCAGGCCTTACAGCACATAAAAGAACAATATATCCACAAACCATGGTTTAAGGGCTCCTTAAATCAACATGAATCAGACAATACCGACTGCACAGGATGATAAACCAAATTAAGCACATCAACCAAAGTAGAATCAGTAATTGGGGATTTGGTCCACTGGTATGATTCTCACTTAGGGTGCAAGAGGTCCCAAGTTTGTTGTTGGAATGCCCCTGCTTTTTATTCCTAAAACTATAGTTTAAAATACTCAGACAACAGTTTAGTTCCTTTATAACAGCTCAAATATGGTGTACCGGTTCAAAGTCAACTCCAAGAAATTTCAATGCACAATACATGGAGAAAGAGAAACTAATATTAACCTGAATCTAAGAAATGACAAGTATAGACAAATGGGCATTTGGTCTAGTGGTATGATTCTCGCTTTGGGTGAGAGAGGTCCCAAGTTCGATTCTCGGAATGCCCCAGCTTTTGTTTTTTCCCTAATTTATACTTTAAAATATTTAAAAGCTCTCGAAATTACGGTTTAAGCATAATGCTATACAAACAGAGTTGGAATCCCAATTTTGTATTCCAATGGCAGCTGATTTAAAATAGTTAGTTACATTGTTCAGTTCCTTGTATTACAATTTAAGCATGTAGATGTATAGACTGGCCCAAAGTAAACTCTATAAATGTAAATGGACAACGATTCATGAGAGAACAACAGGTATTAATCAGAAAGTACGCATGACCAGCATCAAGAAATGGGGAATTTGGTCTAGTGATATCATTCTTGCTAGGGGTGTGAGAATCCTGAGTTCAATTCTTAGAATACTCCTGTTTTTTTGTTCCCTAGATTTTAGTTTAAAATAGTCAGCAATGATGCTTAGCTCCTTGAACAGTTTAAATTATATGACTGTACAATCTGACACAAAGTCAACTCTACAAAATTTCTCAATGGATCTAAATATAGTTGTTTTCTGACAAAATTTCTAATCAATAAATTGAAATAATAAGTAACTAGCAGATGCTGATTTCAAGATGGGCAAGGTATAATCATAGCCTGAACCTCATAATGATTACAGGAAAGACATGTGCCTCAACCTGCCAAACACCCTAACTCGTGGCAATACAACACAAGGGACTATATATGTAGAAACTCATGGGTAGAAGTAAGTTTGACAAACAAATCAGAAGAATCAATTAACAATAATCAATATAGGCAATCAGAAATTTGTGAAAAGATTGCTGCCTAACTTTCCAGTAAGTTCATCTATATTCCATTCTACAAGCACTAGTCTAAATATTCTAACAATAGAACAGCTCAGAAATTAACGGCTCGCTGTTAAGCCACTACTTGACCTAAAGACTTAAATTAATAGATAAAAACCCAAAAATATATTTAAGCTCTAATACAGCTGCTCACATGCACCAAACATGCAAAAATTCAGCTCCTCTTTTAAGCCTCGCATCTTGAGATCCACATTGCCCTAGGTTTTAAGTGAACTCATTCTTGACACATTGCTAATGTATTGAAACCAGCATTTGAACAAATGATCAACTGACTTCCAAAAAGTTACCTCCAAAATCTTCATCAACAATTTATGAAAGAAAATGCACAAATTCTTTAAATTTAATAAATATAAATATTGTCCTGCAATTGATAAACCAACATATTTAAGATAACTCAAGCAGTTTGGGTAATCCTACGATATATCTTGAGCCAGCTTTTCTGCTGATAAGTGACAATGCTTAAAGAAATTCAAAAGCTTCTGATGTCAACAATCAAAAAGGCCATTTGATTATATTTGTAACTAACTAATTATGCCCTAAGTCAACTAAATGCATGTATACCTAACTCTCAAAAAGACACTGACTACACCCAGGTCCAGCCAATCAATAGTTGAAAATTAAATCCAAATAGTATGATTGTCAGATTCAGAGACTTGATCGTCGGAGACCCAACTCGCATAGGAATAGTCTATTAAATCCCATATCGCCATCCATTTAAGTTATATCACAACCACTAGAAAACTAAAGGTTAATGTTTAGCGTTGACTGAAAACTTGTTCACCAGTTAATTAAAAGAAGCAACAAAATATCCAGACTACCAATGCAGACAGCTCAATTCATTTTGTATGTAAACAGCATTCTGTTGATTGTAATACTTTAAGGTGAATTCAATAAAACACACTTTTTTCTCTGAAATTCTCTGTTACAAAGTCAGACAAGTGAATAATTTCCTCAAATCCTCGCACTCAGATGTAAACTCTTTAGAAAAGTCAGAAGCCACAACCAACTGAAGTACATGTGAGGAATAAAACACGCCACAACCAACTGAAGTACATGTGAGGAATAAAACACGCCACAACTTTTTCAACCAGAATTCCATCCGACAGGTAATTTTGGTACACAAGTCAATTCTGACATAAAATCACAAAAAAGAACAAAACATGGCACAGGCCAAGGTTCAATGGCACCTTAAGTCTACATTATGCAGATACAATCAATTCAAAAGGATGATAAACCAAATTAAACACGTCAACCACAAAGAAGCAGAATCAATAAGTAGGCATTTGGTCGAGTTGTATGATTCTCGCTCTCGGTGCGTGAGGTCCCGAGTTTGGTTCTTGGAATGCTCCATTTTGGATCATGGAAGTAAGCTGTTGATTTACCTAAACAGTCTTTTTCTTCTTCTTTTTATCTGTAGTTTGAAAGTAAGACAGTCTTTGTTTTTCTATTATTTTATAGTTTGGTACACTATTAAGAACCTAAGTCAACTCAAATCGTTCAAGGCAAAAAGCAATAATAATAGCAAACACTCAGTTTAACTACCACTTGTAATTTCCAAGTACTTAAGACCAAAACATGACAAGGTTAAGACAACCTAATTCCAGAAGTCAAATATGCTTTAGAACACCTAACCAATACTTTGACCTTCCTATATAAACATTCTGCACAAATGAAGCACACTGTAGAAAGACCTCAAACACATACACAATAAACAAACTCATCAAAACTAAACCATAAGGCATTACAACACTACATCTGTTTCAAGAAACATAACCCTATTAATTAATATTTAAAGGTAAATACTACCTAACATGAACTAATTAACATCAAACACTTGAATATTTGTTATTCGATTGAAGAGGAAAAAATATATAAAATTTTAGGAAGCTGTCAGTTTGTGCTACTTACAGCAGAAAGCGCGGTAGGCCTGAGAAGTGTGAGGCTCGGTTTGGCAGCTAGAAAAATATATGGCAAAGAAAAGTCAAAAGACCAAAGATAAGTATTTTAGCTTGAAGTCTAGAGGCTTCGAAATAGTTTTCCATTAATTTCCTCGATTTTCTCGGCAACCAAACGGACCGGAAGACTCCTGGAGCTGTGCGTAGACTTTATTGTCCTGACCGTCAAAGCTCGAGGATGAAGAAGCTGCTTTTTATTGCAACAAAATTGGTCCTTTTTTTTTGTTTTTTGTTTTTTTAACAATAAAACTCAATTTAATATTATCTTAACCTTGTTCAATTTGAATTTATATTTACAAGTGATTGAAATTCAAGCAAACAAATTGTCAAATTAAAAATTTAGATAGTTTGTAATAGATTAAATCAATGACACAGAGCCTTGATGCTGATCAATTATTGAAGAGATTAATAAAATAACATATTATTATGAATTAGTTTATTATGACATATCTTTGATTCAATGTAATTTAAAGGATTTGGTTAAAAGATAAAATTAATATTTTTATGATCAATTAATCAAAATCTTAAAATATAACTTTGTGTCTTAATTAACTCTGATTGACATAGTAATAATTGGAGAGGATATGAGTCCCTCTTTTATTTTAGTAGGAGTAGTTTTTAGTATAAGTAGTTAATAGGACTCTTATTTAACCTATAATTTTAAGATTATAAAAGATTTTTTTGATATACGTATAATTTGATACAGACACTCTTAATCATAAAAAAATGGTTCATAAAGATTAACCGAGGAATGTTAGGGCCAAAAACAGTCATTGACCCAAATTGGAAAAAGGGATTGACAATAAGAAAAATTCTAGGCCCAATCCCGATGCAGTCCAATCTAAAACTCATCGGATTAGGCCCATTTGATACGAGGTACAGTCGGCCCAAATCGTCTTGACACAAGCCTCTAGTACCAGTCCACTTCCTGGATCTATGAACGAATTCAAAGCCCACGGTTACCTACAGATCACATTCCTATTCGAACACAAGTAAAAGTAACAGATAAAAGTAGCCCACAACAACCCCAACTCCTCCAAGGTCCGTGTCAGAGTCATACCTAGACTCTTTTGTAAGTAAACGGTCTCATATACGCAGCGGAAACAAAACAAAAATTAATATAGAGATCGTTTACATGAGCTAAGATCAAGGGTATAATTTTACAATTCATATTAAAATAAAATCTGCAGAAAAATAAATATGAGTTTAAAGAAAACAAACGCACGTTGGAGGCTTCTCCAAATTTGTCAACGAATGTTTTGCTACCGATCCAAGTGTAGGATCGAACTCACATAGTCCACATGAAGACAATCTCAAAAGAACCAAAGAGGGATTTACTATATCCTCTTTGGCTTCAAGATTAAGAAGAAAGGAAATCAATTGAATTGATTTCTAAGCAAAAGTGTTTCTGCCGTGGGAGTGTATTTCAAAAGGAGCTGCTGTGTTTTTTTTTTCAAAGAAAAATTATGTCACATTTAATTAACACATTTTTCTTTTTATAGTCAATAATCATGTTGCCCTATTCCTATATGGAATATGTTTGGGCTCCAACCCAAATACCCCATGTTGCCAAACACTCCCAATTTGATATTTTATTTTTTCCATCATTATCTCAATTAAATCAATTAATATATATTAACATTTACCAATAATGATAATATATTTAAATATGTGCGAACACACATTTAAACGTAATTTCACTTATTTAATTTTTCTAACAAATTAAATAAAGGCTACGACCTCAGCAAATTTAATTACACTGTGAAATTACCAAAATACCCTTTCGCCTTAAAAGATGAAAACGCACTTCTTTCTTCTTGGATCTTAAATTATCTTCTATGTGTGTGACTCATAGGCTCCTCATCATATCGACAGTGTATAGTATCGCGATTAACACCAATTAATCATCTCACTAATACACAGACCAAGATTGGCCCCTAGCAAGGTATCATGGCCACCCGATAGATTCGGAGTCAGCAAAGTAGCCACCTGTCAACGATATGGTTACTGTGCAATTCGATCCTTTCATTATACGTTATCTCGACGAGACGAAGGCATAGAAATAGTGTCAACCTTCTGTTACTCTCGATATTATTTATTCAGTTTCTGGACCAATGACCCGTATTATAAACTGGATAGAGCAACAACTCAATCCCACTGTGGCCATAGTTTTAGTGTCATTGTCATATACTGAATTACGCTGTGAGATAACTTTCTCCCATACCCGGGAGTGATGAATCCTTTGTCAATCCATCATAGTATTGATACACTCCTTGATGCAGCCAATCACTACCGTATTGACAGCTTTGAAAAGAACCGCGTTAGGCTAGTGTCAAACTACACCAATCGGTGCACAAGGCACTCCGGTGATCTCAAGTCTAAGGATCACATGCACCACCATTCGTTAAAGGATTTGTTCCATAGACATTGGGGTTACCATCCCTATGGAATCCTCTGGTGGGTTAGTCTAGTGAACTTGCTGTGGTGTAATCGCCTACAACAAGCACCCATGTGTTGCACCGGGTTGTCACCAAACAACCTTGACAAGTGAGATCAGTCACTGCCTTTCGATAGGGTCGTTCAACACTATGATAGCCTTACCATATTATCTGTGCCTTTACTTCAGAATAATACTGGGGCTATGGACGTTTCTAGAATGGTCACCATATGTGCTCATAGGGGTCTCACTATCAAGATTTGAAACACTTGATACCCTCGTCACGGTTTTACCATTCTAAGGACATATATCAATACATATTGCAATAATAATGATTTACGCGATATAGTATAAAATGTCTTTTATTGATTAATGAACATTATTACAAAGAGTCAATTCCACAATAATTGATTGGCTCTAGGACACCAACTCCAACATCTTTTTCACACTAAGATAATGGGACCAGAGGATATATCCCAAGAGGGAACAGATTACTATGAGAACTCCTAATCCTGCTAGGATTGGGAGACCAGACAGTCACTATTTAAACAGAGGTCAGACCTCACAAGGTAGATTACACTACACCTACAGACCCCGGAGTTCTAGCTTGAGAACTTCACATCACAGCTGTAGTCACAGTCCCCGACTAGACTTCTGGTAACCTCTCTATTCCTTAGCCCTCACCAAATCAGCCTTTCAGCCTTGCTGACTTGAGCGTCGGATTGCCTACGACAAACACCACCCCGGTGTTTTCCGTCACTTCACGTGTGTAGGTACAACAAATTGCTAGTGGCCTCAACCTCACGGGATCAGTCCCTCCTTCCGTATAGGTAGATTTTTACGTCTACAGTTTGGCGCCCACTATGGGGCCTCTAGCAATCATTCGGTTTAACAAACCTTGCTACTTAAAGGAACTTTCCATGGCTGACAATTCTGACGATGCTAACCCTGATCTCGAGGCCAAACTGGAAGCTCTGAATGCCTTCATACAGCAGAACTCAGATAAGGTGGCTGCACTGGAAGCTGAGAATACTACAATCCGGACCGAAAACGTCTCCATCAAGGCCGAAAACTAGTCTCTGAAAGAAAAGGTAAGTCAGTTTTATGACCTTGAGCTTCTGCCTTCTCAGGTACCACCCAATCGATTTCGCGCCTCGGTTCCATCAATGCAACCCCTCCAAACCCTAGAGCTTAGACCTGTGGCCTCAGATAAAAGGTTACATCAACTATGTTCGTCGGTGGTTGATGATTCAGTCTTGACCCATGGAGAAAAAGATTTGCCAGCGGAACCCCACTCGGCCGAACCATCAGAAGATCAAGGTGTCCAATCGATAGAAAGCCCACTCCAACAAGAATCACCCATCCTAGCCATCCCACCTCACCTCCAGTCAAGCTTCCTTAAACCAAACCCATTCAGCTCGGCTCACCCTCGCGGGTCGAACGGCCACCCACATCAAACCATCCCGCTCGAGTGCATCCATCCCGATGGACCGAACGAGTAGCAAACAACCCCCCTGACTATCCATGTAGGGCTAAAAACTCGATTAGTTATAATGGGAGTTATCCAGCCAGAGGGAATGAACGGTGATCCAAGCTACTAGGCGATACATGAAGGAATAATCCACCAAGCAACACCACGCGGAATGACCCAACAAAATTTGCTGAATGTAATGGCCGACCGAGTCAAACAGTCAAACAGGATGACCTAATGGTACCACCCTCTCCCATGGAATAGATTTTGGCTAAGAGGCTGGCCGATGTAGAGGCAGTGATGAGGCGCATACCAAGGATGTTGATCCCCACCAAGAAGAGTAGGCCCTATTGCTACGTTGACTCGCCTTTTGTAGATACGATCACCTTAGCCGACATGCCCCACAAATTTAACATCCCTGGCATGAAACCCTATGACGGCACAACTGACCTAGATGATCACATAGCCTCGTACAAGCAGTGAATGTTCACTATTTCGATACCCCAAGTGCGGAGGGAAGTCTGCATGTGTAAGAGTTTCAGTTCAAGCTTGTCTGGTCCAACACTTCAGTGGCACACAAATCTCCCAAACAGTTCCATCGACTCATTCACACAGCTCACCGATACCTTTGTGGAGCAGTTCACCAGCAGCAAAAAACTCGAGAAACTATCGATTGACCTATACAGAGTATACCAGAGAAGGGGGGAGCCACTGAGAGAGTATGTTAGTGGAATTCAACAAGGAAAAGATTTCCATCCCTTCTTATAACCCTGAGACAACCATATATGCCTTCAGGAAGGGTCTCCTCCCGGATGGAGAGTTAGACAAAGAGCTGATAAAGCTTGGCTGCACCGCGATGGAGGACGCCTTGACCAAAGTAGTGATTCAGATAAGGTGGGAAGAAGATGAGATGAATCGGGCAGTACTGATAAGCATTCATAATATCTATATATTTATTATATTTCCTCATGTTTTAATGGTTATAAATGCTTAAATCTTGGTTTTGATTATGTTTCGTATTTTATGGAGCAGATTGAGGAGTTAAATCAAATTGAATTCAAAATCAAGAGTTTTGGAGAGAAAAAATCAGAGCTCAAAAAGAGATACATTCTAGAAGTAGATTTTGCTTAAAGCGTGGGCACGTCCTGTTTTCCCAGAATGTTCACAAAAGCAGTCAGCAGATAAAGCATGGGCGCGCCTTACTGGATCCGAGATTCTGACCTAGGGTTACGAATTTGTTGGAGAAAAAGATATGCATGACAGTTAGAAAGATTTATTTACCCTTTCTTAATCTCTAGGATTTGCCAAGACTCCC